TGGCAGAAAAACTAAGTCCATTTATAAGTAAAATACGGAAAAACAGGATTTTTTTTTTTAAATTTACTTCTGGATACTATCTTATGATCATAAACAAGCTTCTGTCCAAGTTTGGTACAAATCCAGGATAGTTTGAGAAAGTTATTAAAATTCAAAAAACTTTAACCACAGAGTGAATGTAATGTTTCCTGGCAGAAAAACTAAGTCCATTTATAAGTAAAATACGGAAAAACAGGAATTTTTTTTTCACAAAATTTACTTCTGGATACTATCTTATGATCATAAACAAGCTTCTGTCCAAGTTTGGTAAAAATCAAGGATAGTTTATGAATCTAATAAATGTTTTAAAACTTTAACTGCAGACTGAATGTAATGTTAACTGGAAGAAAACAAAATGTCCTTCTAGATACTAGCTTTTGATCATAAACAAGCTTCTGTCCAAGTTTGGTACAAATCCAAAAAATAGTATAAGAAAGTTATTAAAATTTTAAAAACTTTAACCACAGAGTGAATGTGTTGTTTCCTGGCAGGAAATCTAAGTCCATTTAAAAGTAAAATAAGGAAAAAATGGATTTATTTTTTTACAAAATTTACTTCTGGATACTATCTTATGATCATAAACAAGCTTCTGTCCAAGTTTGGTATAAACCCAGGATAGTTTAAGAAAGTTATTAAAATTTTAAAAACTTTAACCACAGAGTGAATGTAATATTTCCCGGCAGAAAAACTAAGTCCATTTATAAGTAAAATACGGAAAAAATGGAATTTTATTTTTACAAAATTTACTTCTGGATACTATCTTGTGATCATAAACAAGCTTCTGTCAATGTTTGGTAGTAATCCATGATAGTTTAAGAAAGTTATTAAAATTTCAAAAACTTTAGCCACAGAGTGAATATTTGTGGACACCGCCGACGAAGACGACGCTGACGGAATGTAGGATCGCTATGTCTCGCTTTTTCGACTAAAGTCGAAGGCTTGACAGAAACCAACTGTAAGTACCCGGTAAGAATAAATAAGCAATATAATGTATGTGGGGTGGTATGTCTAAAAGTTAACAAATTTTTAGGCTAATATATATATAAAAAATTTGTAAGGGTTCCGCAGAACCCAGTGTCTCGCCTACTTTTGCTGTTAATCGCAGGCTCAACAAAAATGAGATGAGGAAAAAAATTTAATAAAAATTTCCTCTCGATACAATTTTTTTATTGTAAGAAGCTTCTGTCAAAGTTTGGTAAAAAAACAGGATAGTTTATGAATCTAATAAATGTTTTAAAAAATTTAACTGCAGACTGTATGTAATGTTAACTGGAAGAAAAACTAAGTCCATTTATAAGTCAAATATGGATAAACAAGTACAAAATTTTAATAAAAATTTCCTTCTAGATACTAGCTTTTGATCATAAACAAACTTCTGTCCATGTTTGGTACAAATCCAGGATAGTTTAAGAAAGTTATTAAAATTTTTAAAACTTTAACCACAGAGTGAATGTAATGTTTCCTGGCAGAAAAACTAAGTCCATTTATAAGTAAAATACGGAAAAACAGGATTTTTTTTTTAAAATTTACTTCTGGATACTATCTCATGATCATAAACAAGCTTCTGTCCAAATTTGGTAGAAATCCAGGATAGTTTGAGAAAGTTATTAAAATTCAAAAAACTTAAACCACACAGTGAATGTAATGTTTCCTGGCAGAAAAACTAAGTCCATTTATAAGTAAAATACGGAAAAACAGGACTTTTTTTTTTTAAATTTACTTCTGGATACTATCTTATGATCATAAACAAGCTTCTGTCCAAGTTTGGTACAAATCCAGGATAGTTTGAGAAAGTTATTAAAATTTTAAAAACTTTAACCACAGAGTGAATGTAATGTTTCCTGGCAGAAAAACTAAGTCCATTTATAAGTAAAATACGGAAAAACAGGAATTTTGTTTTTACAAAATTTACTTCTGGATACTATCTTATGATCATAAACAAGCTTCTGTCCAAGTTTGGTAGAAATCCAGGATAGTTTAAGAAAGTTATTAAAATTTCAAAAACTTTAACCACAGAGTGAATATTTGTGGACGCCACCGACGACGCCGACTAAATGTAGGATCGCTATGTCTCGCTTTTTCGACAAAAGTTGAAGGCTCGACAAAAAAAGATGTTGTATAACAACCAATGAGTCAACTATCAATCAGAGTTCAAATGACATGGATATAATCATGTTTAGGTCACTGTATGGCCTTCAACAATGAGAAAAACCAATAATGTATAGTCACCTATAAAACAATTCAAAACTAAAAAAAAACTAACATCCTAATACAATTTACAAAAACCAAATATGACAGACATGAACTGATGACAACCTGTACCACTGAATTACAGGCTCCTGACATGGGACAAGCACATAAAAAATGTGACGGATTAAAACATGGTTGTGATCGCACAACCCTCTCCTAACCTAAAACAGTGGTGTAACATACACAACATAAGAAATAAACTGTAGACACAGAGATATGTCTCACCTTTTTGTAATTTGATAGCATAATGCAAATATTGAATCCAAAAGGCAATATTTCAACATGTAAACTATGCAAAACATTCAAAGTCAATGAACAATGACTTATGGTGCAGGAACAAATAATCGTATGGAAATGAAAAATGCCAATGCTTATAAAACTGCATTCCAAATACCATTGACTTATCATAAGTAGTTCCCTTTACAATAACCTAAACATAAACTTTAATTTGTAAAAAGTTTCAAAGTTAATGAATCATGCTAAAAGGGTGGGTTATATAATCATCACTGAAAAGAGACTTGCAAATTCTAAAACAACTTCATACCAAATATCATTTCTTAACATTAGCGGTTTCTCATAAGCTGATCTAATCACAAACTTAACATGTAAACTATGCAAAACATTCAAATTCATATTTCATGACTGAGGGGGTGGAGCCGAATAATATCCATGGGAATGAGATATGCTAATGCTCATGGATCTACATACAAAATATCATTGATCTACCACCAGTGGTTCCACTTAAGGATGTACACCTCTGAGGAGCCGAAAATTTCTAGAATTAAACTTTTTTTCTTAACCTGATTTTTGGGTTTATATGACTGTAAACAAATATTTGGTGAAGAAAAAATCATACGGTGGTGCACTTCTTTTTTTGCTACGGCCCTTTGAAAGTACCCAATTTTGATGATTTTCCCATTTTTATCAATTTTTACCTATTTGGGCTATTATCGTGAAAAAAATCACAGTTCCACAATTAAACTTTTTTTCATACTTTCAATAAAGATGAAGTGGACCAATCTGAATAAATTAAACTTAAAAAACTATAGGTAGGTGTTAATATAAGAAAGTTTTATCATATTTTGATGCTTTTTTGTGTCAAATTAACCATGCTGTCAATTTTGTCAATTTGTGATTTTTCTCTGTTTTAAGAACAAAATGCATATTATTTCAACTTCTTTGTTATAAATGATTGAAAAAATACATATCTAAGAAATTTGAAAAGAAAAAAGTGATATGGGATGTACATGTTTCTGGTAAAATCATTTCTTGTACCCCTCACCCAATTTTTCAAAATTTTGGCTAAAAAGACTGACTTGATTGGTAATAAAATTTGAAAAATTGATTACTCAAAAACTACTCATTGTAAATACGCAATTTTTTCACAGAATTAAGTTTGATTATAACATTTTTTAAATTCATTGATATTTTCAACTTGTATCACATGTTTTGGAAATAATTCCAGAACGAGATTTTAACTAGACTGTAACGTCAGAAGAATACATCCTTAAACTGACCTAATCACAAACTAATACATGAGGTCTGGAGCTGGCATGTCAGTAACTGCTAGTACATGTAGTCTGTTGTTATTTATGTATTATTGTCATTTTGTTTATTTTCTTTTGTTTTCTATTCTGACATCGGACTCAGACTTCTCTTAAACTGAGTTTTACTGTGCGTACTGTTGTGTGTTTGTTTTTTCTACATTGGCTAGAGGTATAGGGGGAGGGTTGAGATCTCAAAAAACATGTTTAACTCCGCCACATTTTTGCGCCTGTCCCAAGTCAGGAGCCTCTGGCCTTTGTTAGTCTTGTTTCATTTTTAATTTTAGTTTCTTGTGTATAATTTGGAGTTTAGTATGATGTCCATTATGACTGAACTAGTATACATATTTGTTTAGGGGCCAGCTGAAGGACGCCTCCGGGTGCGGTAGTTTCTCGCTGCATTGAAGGCCCATTGGTGGACTTCGGCTGATGTCTGTTCTATGGTCGGGTTGTTGTCTCTTTGACACATTCCCCATTTCCATTCTCAATTTTATTTTAAAGTAAGCAAAAGTCTCAAAGTCATTAGACCATGACTGAGGGGGCAGGGTTGAATAATCTCCATGGAAATGAGATGTACCAATGCCATAAATGCATCTAAATACAAAATATCATTGACCTAACACTGGTGGTTCCATTTAAACTGACCTAATCACTAATACATGTAAAGTAAACCAGACCATGACTGAGGGGGTGGGGCCAAATAATCTCCATGGAAATGAGATGTGCCAATGCAAATACAACTGCAAACCAAATATCATTGACCTTCCACTAGAAGTTCTACATAAACTGACCTAATCACAAACTAATAAATTGTTGACGCCGCTGCTGACCGAAACAGCATACCTTGCTTTTTGACTCCGTCAAGGTGGGACAAAAACTATAAAAATCAGTTGCAAATGGCTTAACAAAAGATTGGTACCAAGCACAGAAAAAAGACAAAAAGCACTGATATACTAGTTCTTGCAATTACTAAGATATTTCAAAGCTAATTACAACTAATAGACAAATCATGTTCTCCTGGACTAAAGTATCAATCAGTACACATCAAACGGGTTTAGTGTAAAGAAGTTATAAACAGTCTGAAAAGGCCATGACTTTATGCAATACCAAAATACAAGTAAACGGTAACCAAAGGATGTAGGATAATGAGTACATAACAATACATATTCAATAATTCTTCAAAAACAAAATCAATGTAGTGTTTTCACATTTAGTCATTTTGGGGCAGTCCTTTTGTAGCTGACTGTGCATTACAGGTTTGCTTATTGTTGAAGGCCTATAGTTGTCTATATCTATTTTATCTAGATTGTATGATAGTTGGCTCAATGACAATCATATAAAATCTCCTTATTTTCATATTGTTTCATTATTTGATTTGCTATTTCAAAGGTTAAAACATCCAACCTGTTTTATATTTATAAAAAGTCTGTAGTTGATTTTGCACAGTAGACAAAGACTATACAAACGGAGACATACTTTTGCTTAATTTTTTCTGCTACTTATGCTAATATCAGACTCAGACTTCTTTTAAATTGAGTTTTACGGTGCGTATTGCTGCGTGTTTGTTTATTCAATATTGGCTAGAGGTATAGGTGGAAGGTTGAGAACTCAAAAAAAAATTTTGCACCTGTCCCAAGTCAATAAACTCTAACCTCTGTGTATACAGTTTTCTGTGTTTTTTTTAAAATTTTGGTTCATTTGTATGTTTTGTAGTTTAGTGTGGCGTCCATTTAGCTGAACTAATATACATTATTGTTTAGGGGCCAGCTGAACCCCGACTCCGTATTTTGTATTTATAATGGAAGTATACATTATTGTTTAGGGGCCAGCTGAACCCCGACTCCGTATTTTGTATTTATAATGGAAGTATACGTTATTGTTTAGGGGCCAGCTGAACCCCGACTCAGTATTTTGTATTTACAATGGAAGGAGAAATGTTACTCACATGTTCTGGTATAATACAATCAATCTCTACTGGACCTGTACTGGTTACTTCACAGGCCTTGCTCCCTATTGTGACCTCAGCATTGGGACTAAAACCATAGCCACTTAATGCTAAAGTTATTCCTCCTAAAAAATACATGTGTCAGAACAAAATACTTTAAAAACTGTTGTATCGTCAATGTATTTATATTTTGGTGAATGAAATTATTTGGCATCTTTTGTTTTACCATACAAATTCACTTTAGAAAAGTTATATAAAAGAACAGCTTTCAAATAACTTCTGTAGACACTTATATTTGATCTTTCCAAGGGCTATAACTCCAACAAAAGTTTTTGTTCTTTGAAACTTTTATGATAAATATTCTAAATAAGATGTGAACATGAGATAGCTTACAATGCAACGATCCATACAATTTTTATTTTAAGAAATCAACGGTCAACTTTGCCTGAGGGAGTTGGAACCTTAGTTTCTTAATAATTTCTTAACAAGGATCTTTAGAAAAATATTTATACCTGTGTCCCTTAAAGTCATATGAAACGAGTGACTGGTGAAAAATAATGTCAATCCAATTCTTGAACCAATGCATGCATATATCATAAACTTAATCTTCTGTGCATGATTTTATCATTTTTTACGCATCCATATCATATAATCGTCAAAAAAATATTTCACTCGGTCAGTGTTGATGTGAAAATATGGCAGCTAATCATTTGTTGTGTTTTGAAGCCGAAGTTTACCAATTGTCACCTTTGTAAACAATCAACAAAGAAGCATGGATATTGAGGTAAGCACGTGTATAACATGTACAATAAGATATAGTTTATATCGATGATGGAGCAATGTTTACGTTTGTTGACTCTCTCTGACAATTTGGTTTTCCCCTTCGCACTTGCATATTGCGATCATCGGATTTTTATGAGAAAGGTCACGCTGAGGTCACTGCATATGGAAATCATATCTGCGAATTATTGTCTGGAAAGCCAATAATTAAAAAAAGAAAATTTCTTCTAAATTTGGATAAACTAAAGAATTTTCTTCAGAAAAAGTATGTGTACATAAGTTTTATAGTAAAAACTAGCCATTTAGTTATAAAAAAACATGTGCATCAATTTTTTTTAATTTGAAGTTTCATCTGACTTTAAACTGTCATGACACATTGTCAGACTTTTACTCTTTTTCTTTTTGTAAATATTTTGACATGTAACTACTTCCAAGGATGTTTCTGTACAAATATGATAATAAAAAAGATAATTTAAACAAAATGACTTCATCAAAGCATGACATGAAAACATAACATCCCACTCATCTTCTTTGATTCCCATGTCTAATTTAATTCTTACCACCAATAGTTCCAAAGGTTGGACTGATATCAGTTATTGCCATCGAATAAGTGAAAGTTTTAGTTGCACCATTGTGTAGAGCCTTCCCTTTTCCACCATCGATAACTTCGACTTCATAGGTTCCATAAGATCCCTCACCGACAGTACAAGTGATTGAGGTTGTTGTAATGGCTGTTATCACACATGGTACTCCCCCTATAGTCACTGCACTATTGTCGGATCCAAGTTTAGTACCGGTGATTTGTATTTCTGTCCCATTTGCACCTAAAAGATTGGTATATAATTTTAAGCTAATATATTAGTAATCTATAAATAATCAGGAATCATTGTAGAAGTCTGGGGATTGTGAAAGAAATCTTTTTTTCTTGTTTCTTTATTTGCAATTTCAGACATTTCGTTTAACCAAAGAAACAAAAGGGTATCTCATTACTCCAGGCAATCTTAATTGTACTTTTAAGGTGTGTCTTCTCTCTCTCCGTTATTAAGGACTTCCTCGTGAATTTCAAATGAAGAGCAATAAAAGTTTATCATGTTATCTCTTGAATATCATTCCATATTCCTTTTCATGCTAACTATATTTATTGTGGTACTCTTTCGACAGTATACTGTAAATCAACTAAATTTTGCAATTTATTTTCGTGAGAAAAAAGATAATCAGGAATATAAGTAGTCACAAATATGTAAATCTTGGATCTATCCTCAAATCTATACATTGAAAAAATGGTGAAAATTGATAGCCATGAAGTCAGCTAGAAAGAGAAAACTTGAAATAAAGTATCCACAAAAATAAGTTGATTTACAGTATATATACATACCTGTAACAGGACTTATTGCAGTAATTGTTGGTGTACTTGCAGCTGACCATTCATAACTACAGTCATCTGTACATAGTGTAGGAACATCATTTACATATGCTAGTACCTATAAAATAGCACTGACAGGTAAAAATCTATGCTGGGACTTTTCATTCCATGGTTATTGTTATCATTTGTTTAATCTTATACATACATCTGTGGATTCATCAGATACTGATTTTCATGGATCTCTTGGGTATAAATTAACCAGGAATTTAAGTGTTTAACAAGGCCCAAATTTTATGTAGACTTGTATATAGATAAAACAACAAAAAATAAAGAATCGAAGAAAAAATAAAGTTTTCCTAAATCCATGAAAATTAATGAACCCAGTGTGTATATACAGCTTCTAAAATATAAAGTATTCAATTATCATAAAAAAAAAATTTAACAAGCCTTACAAATCTTAAGATTCTTAAGCCACTTTATGAGATATCTTAGAAAGCCATTTTGTTATAATTTTTTATTGAGGATACCAAAGTAACATTGAAATTTTATAAACTAATCCTGGTTCTGTTCTATGTAACTATTTAGACTCTGTGTGGCACACATGGTCATAGATTGTATTCAAACTTCACACAATGTAGTATTGGGGTATACATAGAAAATGACTTTGTCAAAATGTAGTTTATATTGTGATATTTTCAAAAATATAATGATAAAAAAAAATGTTTTTAAGATACAAGTTGTGAAAAATTTACACAATTTGTAAAAATATACAGGGAAAAAGCTTTATTTTGTGAATTGAAAGAAAACTTAATGACAGAATTTTGGAATAAAATATGTGAAGATAGCTCTCATAAAATGCTTTATCGAAATTAAAAAAAAAAATATTGTCACCATACTCCTTGCTAAAATACAAAAAAGAAAATATCTCTACATTCTTTCAAAAGAATTAAATTATCTTAGCCATCTCCTTCCTTATTTCCTTCCCAAAACATTTTCAGTGCTTTTAAAAACAGTCAAAATAATCAGATAAAATCACATAATTCTCTTCATTAAAATAAATAAATGTGGATTGTGTCCACATGTGGACACAGATGATGCCCCTGCTTGCATATCATATAATTATAAAGGGACATAACTGAAGAACGGTAAAAGTGATGCTACCCAAATTTGAACTTGGTCTGAGTTTTGTGGTAATAAGCATTGTGTGTAAGTCTCATAACATTTGGTTGAGGCTAACTTTAGAGAACAGAAACTAAAAATTCAGCAATTTTTCTATTTTTAAACACGAATAACTCTAGAAGGGTTGTGTATATGTTTCATAACACTTGGTTGAGACAAACTAAAGTTAGAGAACGAAAAAAAAAAAATTCAGCAATTTTTATGTTTATAAAGGGACATAACTCAACAATGGTAAAAGTGACGCCACCAAATTTCGTACTTAATTTGTATTATATAGTAATAAGCATTGTGTATAAGTTTCATAACATAAGGTTGAGGCAAACTAAAGTTAGAGAACGGAAACAAAAAAAATGTACTTGATCTTAGTTTTGTGGTAATGAATATTGTGTATAGGTTTCATAATGTTTGGTTGGGGCAAACTTAAGTTACAGAATGGAAACTAAAAATTTTGCAATCTTTCGATTTATAAAGGGGCATAACTTAATAATGGTTAAAGTGACACTACCCAAATTCAACTTGATCTGTGTTTTATCAGTGGAAGGCAAAATTAAACATTGCATTGAATAAAGCATTGATTGTAGTTGATTCAACTATAATCATGGACAAAGGAAGATAACTCCAAATTTAAAAATTACTTGAATAAAGACATTGATATTTTTAGAAATTACATTTAGCTTTAAGACAAACTCAAGTTATAGAATGGAAACGAAAAATTCAGCAATTTTTTCATTTGTAAAGGGGCATAACCCTAGAACGGTAATCAAACAGCTTGTAAGCACTGAATGGTAAAGATTGCTTTAATTTATCAGTAGGAAGTAAAATTGAATATTGCATTGTATAAAGCATTGGTTGTAGTTAATTCAACTACCATTATGCACAAAAAAAGATAACTCCAATTTTCAAAGAAGACTTTGAAATATTTTTAGGAATGAAGGGTAAAAATTGCTTTAATTTATCAGTGGAAGGCAAAATTAAACATTGCATTGAATAAAGCATTGATTGTAGTTGATTCAACTATAATCATGGACAAAGGAAGATAACTCCAAATTTAAAAATTACTTGAATAAAGACATTGATATTTTTAGAAATTACATTTAGCTTTAAGACAAACTCAAGTTATAGAATGGAAACGAAAAATTCAGCAATTTTTTCATTTGTAAAGGGGCATAACCCTAGAACGGTAATCAAACAGCTTGTAAGCACTGAATGGTAAAGATTGCTTTAATTTATCAGTAGGAAGTAAAATTGAATATTGCATTGTATAAAGCATTGGTTGTAGTTAATTCAACTACCATTATGCACAAAAAAAGATAACTCCAATTTTCAAAGAAGACTTTGAAATATTTTTAGGAATGAAGGGTAAAAATTGCTTTAATTTATCAGTGGAAGGCAAAATTAAACATTGCATTGTATAAAGCATTGATTGTAGTTGATTCAACTATAATCATGTACAAAGGAAGATAACTCCAATTTTAAAAATTACTTGATATTTAGAAAAAAAAATGAAAAATTTAGCAATTTTTCCATTTGTAAAGGGCATAACTCTAGAACAGTAAAAGTGATGGCACCAAAATTCAAACTTGATCTGTATATTGTGGTAATAAGCATTGTGTATAAGTTTCATAACAATTGGTTGAGGCAAACTAAAGTTAGAGAACGGAAACCAACTTTGGGACGTACAGACCGACAAGGGTAAAACTTAATGCCCCCTCTGCTAATGCGGGGGCATAAAAAAGTTTTAAAACAAATTGCATTTTCGCCTCAAAACTTGATTATTTCATAACATATATGGACCAATAGTCTTTCTGCTATTTTACTATCAAAGATGGAGAAAGATCCCCATACTACCTTAATCAAAGGTAATCATGATATTTCTTGGTGTATGTGTTTGTGTCTCTTTTATTCTAAGAATTTACTGACTTTTGCCATATCACATCTCTAACACAAGCAAAAGTTCAAACAAATAAAAATGTATACAAAGTCTTAAGCAATACTAGTTTGACAAACCTGAGGTTTACTATGATCTGTATATAACATATCTCCTGGGATTGGATTGTACCATAATCCACCATTAGTTAGGGTGTATACATTAACAACAACTTTCCTCCCGGCCAAAGATGAGTTAACCTGACAAAAGTGGACAGAGAAATATTATACAAACATTGAGTCAAGTATATGGATATCTATAAGGGATTTGTAAATTCCTCTCCAAATTGTTAATGGTAATGTGGAATTTGTCTCAAGACCATCCCTGTCATTTTTGTTGCATGCCATTCATAGTTTACTAACTTACAAACTTTCTTAATCAGCATCTTATTACAGATCATACTGATTCAGTGCTATAGACATATTCTGGATTTGTTTTACTCATGCAAGATATAAAAAAAATACAGAGAAGAATTTATGTTTTCTGAAATCTTAAGACTTCAAACCACTATTTTCAGTGCTGCTAATATCAACTATGCATACCCTCATTTGTAATTCAAAATATCAGAAAACAGGAAGTAGGTGTCTGACAGGTCTGAAAAGTGCTCACATGTTATGACTGTCAAGCTGCAGGCCATATAAGAAGTCAAGCTGTACAGTAATACTAGACAAATATTTGAAGACACCAAGTATTAACCAACAGAAAGTAGGTGTCCGACATATATCTGAAAATTCCTCACACATTACAACCCAATACTGTCAATCTTCTTATCAAATAGGGAGAAATGTGTAATGAAAATAGTAAGTACATTCAAAATATTAATAAAAAAATTCAAAATGACATCAAACTGTTGTTTATTTTACATTTATTCATGTCATTGTTAAAGCAATTGAGGGCCATAACTCCTTCACAGCAAAAAGTGAAATCATCAAAATCAATCTTGACCTCCATTTTGTAATAATTTTTTTTTTAAATTTGAAAGGATTGTATCAAACATTCTCAGGTTGAAGCCAGGAATCTGCATAAAGTGCCATTTACAAATCAATCAAGGACCATAACTCCTGGATGGCAAACGTGAATATTGTCAATATCAAAATTGACCTCTGTTTTGTCTTCAGTGAAAACATATCAAAATTTCAAAAGCATTGGTTAAATAGTCACATCAGAGAAAAAGTGAGGAACCAACCTACCGAAAAGGTGAATGCAATATAGCCCCACTCATATCAAATCATTCTTAAAACACAAGTTGAGTAATAAGTTACGATAGTTATGAAAGGACAAACTGTTGAACAATGTGATTTGGGGTATTACAATATAAATTGAATGGACTTTCACCACAATATTTATGTTGCTTTGAATAGTTTTAATATACACTTATTGTCAAAAAAGCAGTACCTGTATTTGAGGCTGGTCACCAGCTAATGTTGTAAATCTTATATGGTAGTCAAAATTTGAACAGGTACCATATCGATATATAGAAATAGCTCCAATACCATCTATTGATTCCAAAATATCAGTCAATGCTGCAGAGCTTGTATCATGTGGAATACCTAAAATATCAAGTCACAATTTGTCAAAAGTGCTGTCAAGAATTTTGCAGGATGGATGAATGGATTGGTGATTAACATCCAGCGGCAAATATTACACATGTGGATATATGAATATGAATCCTGATTTGTATAACACACGACAGGCTGAGCTGGATTTTTATCTATTTTTTGTTCACCAAAATGAAAATAACTTTACAGCCCTTTTGATATTTGTTAAAATGAATCAAGTAAATCACATCCCTCTCTATCTTATTAAAAGAGCTTAAACTAATTGCCTAATGGCATGATTCACAACCATGTACTTAATGGAGTGTGTTTCAACCAACTATGATGGAGTGTGTCTAAACCAGCAACAATGAGGTGAGTCTCAAACGAGTACCTAAGTAACTAATGAAGTACTGTAAGTCTCAACAAAGTAGATAATGCAATAGGTCTCAACCAATTACCTGATGGAGTAAGTCTCAAACATTTACATAATGGAGTAAGTCTCAACTGAGGAACTAATGAAGTAAGTCACAACCAACTAGATAATGCAATAAGTCTCAAATAATTACCTGATGGAGTAAGTCTCAACCATTTACATAATGGAGTAATAATTAAAGTCACAACTGACGAAATAATGAAGTAAGTCTCAATTAATTACTAAATGGAGTAAGTAAGGTCCTTTTATAGCTGAATATATTGTATTGCTTTTCCTCATTGTTGTATGCCGTACAGTGGCCTATAATTGCTTACCACCACTTCATTTTAAATCCGGTTAATAGCTGTCTCATTGACAATCATACCAAATCTCCACATTTTTTATACAAGTCTCGATTAACTTCCCTATGAAGTAAGTCTCAAATATTTTCACAATGGAGTTAGTCTCAACCAATTACCTAATGGAGTAAGTCTCAACCAATTACCTAATGGAGTAAGTCTCAACCAACTTTCTACTAAATTAAATATCAACTTATAACCTAATAACATGATGGAAAGGAGAAAGTACCAACCAAATACCTAGATCATAGTTAGAGACTATGAAAGTAAATCATAATTAAATCATACAGCATATCTCAAGTTAGATTAGCACCAAACTATAGTGATTGTTGGCTAAAGTGATATATAAAGAAGATGTACTACTTTGAACAACTGTCTACCAAATACAACCTGAATTTTGATTAATATTAGGCAATTAAATTCCAGTGGAAAATATTACATGCATATCAAGAATGGTAACATGTTGATGAGCTATGAATAAACTCTATTTTATTCTAGACCAACATATCTTACTGGTCAATCACAAGCTAGGCAATGTTGTTAATTTCATTTAAGATATTAACAAATTTTGTTTTATCTTTAATTGCAACTTAAAATTTAACTGAATATTTGGTTTACAGGGGGATAAACTGCTTGTTATCTCACCTGATTTGGTTTTATTTTTAAAGGTAATGCTGAATGTTCCACTGATAGGAGGTGAAGCTGCCTGTAATCTTTTAATATCTATTTGTACCCCTGATCCAACCTGTCCAGGTTCTATAGTTAATAGTGGTATTTTATGGCCACATAGATATGGTACAAATGTGACCTCCAAAAGACCTTCTGTAGATCTCACATCTACTCTATCAATACGTGTACTGCCCAAACTTACAGGAAGCATTCTGTAACTATTTACAACTACAACAAAAAGTATTAATCAAACAATTTTAACAAATGTCAAGTTTTACATAATTCTTCATTAATATAATACATGTATATGAAACTAAAATAAAAAAAAACGACCAAATTTTTCAAATTCCAGTTTGAATTCACCACTGCAAACTGATTATCTGGTAAAATACTTAAGCTTATTGCATCAGTGAAAGGTTGTCTCTAGTAAAAAAAAACCAACATTATTGATCAACTTGTCAAATAAAACAATTACACTATCTCATTACCAATAAACACACCAATCAAAAGTTGTGTTGTTAAAGTTTTGTTTGTGAATATTTTAACTTGAAAAAAACTCAAGAGCAATCAATTCTGAGAGTGATCAAGGACAATGTTACTATTTATTTCTGAACTGTTTAAACTGTTAAAAAAGACTTTGACAAAATTTAAACAATGAAAGTCACGTTACCTGGTCCATGTCCAGAGTGCCCCATGAAAAATAGGAAAATTGGAATAACAGTGTGATTGATTAAAAAAGTAAATAATAATTTTTTTTTCCATGTAAATTAAGTGCAGTTAAGTTGTACATCACACATGTGTTTTAAATTAGATTTTCAAGAGAGCTATTATAAAACCATTCTGATTTAAACTTGAAATAAAGACACCAGACGATTGGCATAAGAGATAGAAAAAAAAAACAATTTACAAATACACAATATGGTTTTCATAACATGTATTGACAAAATTAAAAGTAAAAGAACCTTCAACATTCTCTGTGGGTTGTTCACGTCCTATATAGATATCATCAATATAAAAGTTTCTTGTATAATCATTCTTGCTAACATATATCCTTCTCATGTAAAAGGACGACCCTTGTGGTTGAAATCCTTTAACAGCACTGAATATTTCTACACAAACATAATGCCATCTAAAATAGAACAACAACAAAATAAAAAAAAAACAGAATACATTATGGAATATGGAAGAATCAAATTATAATCCCCTTCATTTTTTTTTATTGATATCAGCTTTTTAAACCACTAAAGAAAGAGACCTCCCTTTGAGAAACATTTCAAATAGAGAGATTAAATGTAGATACTATGTTCTGTTGCTTTCTACGATTTTTGTAGTAAAATCATAGATACATGTATTTAATAGCTGTGCTTATTGATTAGACTTTGCAGTTTCCTGCCTCACAACTGACCCTATGTTTGACAATGGTTCCCAAAAACATTTCATTGCCTTGCGTTTTGGTGTAAAGTATACAGCCAAGTGTTTGTATTCCTAAGGGGACAATTGAACTATAAATGTACACCAAATTTTTTTCGTGGATACTTTTTTCAATTAGGCCTTTCTAGACATCTTTGAGGTAATTTATTTTTCGTGAATACTAACTTTGTTTATGTATTCATAAAAGAGAAGATCCAAGTTTGACACATTCAAGTGATTTTCTACTTGCAAAAGGCATGCAAGTATACACTCTCTAAAAAATATTTGGTTTAAAATTAGGATAAATAAACCAGCTATTTACCCTGATTTTCTTTCAAATGTCAGAGGAATACTGTTAGTAGCATTGTGTACTGTACCATTAACATCTTCATAGGAGTAGGTAATTCCTATACCATTTTTCAGCTGGTTACCCAGATATGCAAAGCATAGCTACAAAAAATATATTATAGAAAAATATTTTGTTGATAGGTTTGTTTATCATTCTTAAATAGAAAAAAAATATTTAGTTATTATAACAACTATTACAAATTTCAATGTTGATGTATTTTTCAAAAACTATTCTATATTAATAAATTTGATTCCTTTATTTCAAATCAGTACACAAAAACATTTGCCCATTATATAAAAAATAAAATAGAGTGGGTGAGGATGGGATTTTAAATTTGCTAATGCTAAATTGCAATGCTCTGCTCCATGCAGTTGTATTATTTAGAATGCCTAAATGAGGCATGCAGTAATTAAAACAAAAGGATGATAATTATTAATTATCCCTGCTGATTGGATAATTTGAAATGATTGCCTTGTTCTGATTGGTTCCCTTCCCACATATGATCTCACTAAGCAATTAGAGAGCAAAATGTCAATAGTGGCCAGTGGGGAACTCCCTATATCGTTGGTTGATATTAATAGTTATAAGCTGAACTAAAATAAACCTAATGGGCAATAAAAGACAGACTATTATAAGTAAGCTACCGATACGAGGTAATGCAAGTGCAATGATACATGTCAACATGCTGTGTATTAATAATCCATTTTTATAAAGTAAACTTGTATTTGCCCTGTTTATTTGTACAATAAAAATAAGAAAAATGATAAGAATAGACACTGAAAGAACCTCAGAATGACAAATTGGACAAATTACACAATATTGAACAAAACAAAACTCACACATTTTATAAGTTTCTATCTATACTACCTAGAAGGTCACATCAATCATTTGTACAATTGCTTTACTGACAAAAAAAATGTTCTGCAATCCTACAGTTAAGGGGAGATAATATGTTTGGATTTGGATTATCTCCCTTTGAGTGTTGAAATTAAGTTTAGTGGGTATAAATTTGTTGGGTTCCCCCCCTAACCCTTTTCTTTCGAAACAGGTAATCCAAAATTTCTTTTTGGTTGTACAAAAAAGAAAATTTATAATAATATGACAATCATGACTTTTGTAATGCTGACTTTTTTTATTCATTACAATTTTTATGTTTGCACAGTGTTTTACCAAGGTTTATTGATGCATGAAGTTAGATTTATACATCATCTTGTTTATACAGGTACAATATTACAGCTTTGTGTTTCCACAGAAAGTTGTATGAGTCAAAGTGTAATCAGAGGAATGAAATTTATAACTGGAATTTTTATTCTATATCTTAGCTATCTAAATGACTAAGGATACATTAAAACTTTTCTGATACAACTGTCAAGGTTTAAATTCTAGAGTGAAATGGAGAGATGTGTTCGAATACTTGAAATCAAAACTCTGTCATATTTATTGTCTGCAAGACAAGCACTTTACTCAAAGATATGAATCCTTTATTAGAAACCAATGGGGAGGAGTATGCATTTTAACTCTTCTGCTTCTAATCATTTTATTTGCAAATTATCTTGAATGTAAAATAAATGGGGAGGAGTATGCATTTTAACTCTTCTGCTTCTAATCATTTTATTTGCAAATTATCTTGAATGTAAAATAAATAAAATAAAGAAAGATGAAAATGGAAATTTCCTCGGTGTTGACATTACAATTAAAGAAAAAAATATAACTTATGATTTAATTGATCCCTTTCGAGAATTCTACCAAGATAAGAAATGATATACATGGAGAAAAATTGATCCTTCGAAGCAAGCTTGATTTTTTTCTTGTATCTCATGTTTCTATCAAAATATAAAAGAAGTGGAACTTCAAAACCACTACACAATTGATCAATCACCAATAGTTTTACACTTTAAAATAAGTGATTTCAATATTGGCAAGGGTTTATTGAAATTAATAATAGTTTACTGTATATTATTAAATGATATGAGCAAATCAGCCCTAATACGGATAAATCAGCATGTGTAATACTGATGACATTGCCCTGTCAATATAAATCAGGAGTTAATATTGCTTTTTGGACAGGGTCAATATGGAAAAAACAGGGCCAATACTGATAAAAGCTGTATTGGCCCATGGGCTAATACTGGACTTTCACTTCCGGTTTCAATTTTCCTACGCTAAGCTTGACTTTGGACGTATCGTTATGCATAAAATACATTTGTATCATATTTTTCAACTTAAAATCATAGAAAAAAAATTACATGATGTTCAGTGTTTTGTATCTTGAAACGGAAATATTTCACAGCCTTTTCGAGTACAGCTTTCGATTATTATCACTGTTTCATTTCCGTTGATCAATCAACAGAACGCAGACGAACCAAGAGTAAAAATAGTTAAACTGTCTGATTTATTCTTCCCAGCTACTTTATATTTGCTAGATAAAATGAATTGTAATAGCATAAGATAAAGTACTTGGATGAGAATTAAGAAATTACATCTGACAATGACTCAATGTTGACAAAAAATCCTTTGTGAATGTCATGAATTTCTGTATCTTCTTCACGGTAAGTTTCTTAGTTTAATCGAAAAATTTAAATCATTTAATAAAAGTGTTATGAACTGGCTGTTCCTGTATTGGCCCTGTTATAGATTCTCGATCAGCTGTATTGGCCCTCGACTCCTTGAGTCTCAGGTCCAATACAGCTAACCTCGAATCTATAACAGGGCCAATACAGAAACAGCCAGTTAATAACACTATAATATAGAATATATTGAAACTGTCAAAGAAAAAATAAAACAAATTAAGGATCAATATGAATCTTTAGTATACAATAGAGACACACTAGATCAGGTGGATTGCTTACATATTCAATTCAAAATAAATGATAAACTGTTCTCAGAAACATTAATGACCGAAATAAGGGGTAAAACAATTTCCTTTGCCTCATATAAAAAGAAAGAAAAAAATAAATTGGAAAATGCTTTGATAAATAAAATTCAAAAATTGGAAGGAAATATACAGACCACAGAATCTCTTGAAAATCTTAACCAAAAAAAATCTGAATTACAAATTTTAAGACCAGGAAAAATGTGTGGTCTTTATGTGTGTTCAAAAATGCAATGGATATAGAAGAAGGAGAAAGATCCTCCAAATATTTCCTCAATTTAAATATACTAAGAATTTTGTTAATAAAGCAATTCCAAGACTAGTCAATAAAGAAGGTCTTTGTATAAACAAACAAGAATAGATTTTAATGGAAGCCAAAAACTTTTATTAGGATTTATTTATAAAAAAAAAGCAGTGGTTTCAATAAAGAATAGTACATCAAATCTTAGGCACAAATGAACTTCTCTTAAAATAAAAGTGAAAGATACAAATAATTGTAGATATGAATGTGTGTGTATGTGGGGGAGGGGGTGTAGAAACAATAGAAAAATCCTGGATAATTGAGAGGATAGAAATAGAACTTAAACTTTAAATATAGATTTGGTTTTATTTGGTATTCTACCCAACAACGATAAAAATGACATAAGAAACTTAATAATTCTGTTAACAAAATTTTATATTTATAGAAGCAAATTATCATTGGAACAAACCAAATGATAGTGCTAAAAAATTATTTAAAAGAAAACTTATTAATAGAAAAATATATATTTTATAAAAATAAGACTCAGTAGGGCAGAGAACTGCTGGAACCCCTGGACTCCTTTATTGTCATAACAACAAAGATAAACAACAGACACCATATGTTGTATAATTTAAAAATATTAATTCTCTATCCAAGCAGCCTTAATTAATTGTCTTGCAATCATATTCTGCAATGTATCAAACTATTTTTAGCCGTGTCTATTTAATATGTTGTATATCTTATATAGCCTATATATACAATATTATGCATAAAATGTGTATAACTTACTATTATGTTCTATGCAAATAAAAACAATCTGATTGTATATACTAATAATAATATTAACACAGAGATTGGTGGTGCAGTAATCCAATAAACTGTCATTTAATTGCTGTTAAAATAAATTGCTTCGCTGAGTGCAGCTGGATACGACCGCAGATGTCCAACCCTGAAAAGTTGGGGCCAAAATGGACACAATATTCACACTTGATACAGGTCTGAATTTGGATTGTAATTAAATTTTTGACACATAATAGGTTTCTGACACAGCATAACTGTAGTCAAAGAACTTCAAATTGGTTATATGATTTAAATTTATATTCAATTTTTTTGCTTTTGTGCAATACACTATGCGAATTGAAATCCCCCCCTAAATTGTTTGAGCCATAACCCCCCAAAGTCAATCCTAACCATCCCTTTGTAGTATGGAAACTTGTGGTATAATTTCAGAGAGATTCATACACTTTAACACAAGTTATTGTCTGGAAACTACAAAAATGCTTATTTGGGCCCCTTTTTTGGCCCCTAATTCCTAAACAGTTGGGACCATAACCCCCAAAATCAATCCAAACCTCCCTTTAGTGGTTATAAACCTTGTGTTAAAATTTTATTGATTTCCATTTACTTATATTTATGTTATTATCCGGAAACCATCTGTCTTCGGACAACGCTGACAACGACGACGACGACAACGCAATACCAATATACGACCAAAAAATTTTTAATTTTTGTGGTCGTATAAAAATGGGAATTAATCTCTCTTTTCATATCTTACAAAGCACACATGATAAAATTTACACTGACAAATATGAATACTTCAAACTAAAATGAGCATGTGCCTGCAAATTAAAAGTACTTAAAAAACAACCTAAAAAAATTCAAACATTTGAACAAAATAAAAATTCCGAAGTCAATTTAGCTACGTAGATGACAGTCTAAACTTGTGCTTGAAGCATAGTTGCCATCTTTATGGATTTCTAGCAGAAGAAACAGTTTCTTTGTGTGAAATGGTTTTGATGATGAAGACTGTAAGTTTCCTGACAATTTACATAAAATGAAAGTTTGGCTGCCACTTCACTGACTGGGGATCATAGACTTGAATTCAATGAATTAATAGGAAATCTGAACTTTAGCCAAAACAGTCTCTTTAGAGCTGTTGTGACCCTGACCTTTGACTTATTGATGTCAAATTAAATATCCATGATCATACTGAGAGAAAATGTTTTGTGACACTGACACCATGGTTTATCATGTCTCTTTTTAGTAACAACTTACTACATTCACTTTAGAGGACAATGAGAGGCCTTTAGAACTGCTGTCTGTTACTTCATATAATGATGATGGATTTTTACCAACATATTGTCCACAAAAAGGTTCAATTTCCATCGTTATGGTAACACCAGATTGCGATTTTGGTTCATGATCAAAGAATATTTTGTCAGCAGGAGGATCTTTTAAGAAACTTGGACAGCGAGTTCCAAACATAAGGTCCAATGCAGTTTTTACCTATAACAGAGAATATCAAATATTGAATAATCAAAAATATAGTAGCATTTTATCATAGCATTACTATCTCTTGAATAAGCATATCAATCTACTTTTAATCATTTCTGTATTTTAACATAGTGATAGGTTAAATGTAAACTTCTTTAAAAATAAATCCATTAAATGTCTTTTTCTTGATTCTGTAAATTGAGAAATTTTTGTGTGCATTTATTATTGCTTTATTTACAATAGACAAAAATTTTAGATTTTATTGCCACTTCAAGAAAGTAGTATTATTTGTATGCTGCATTTCTTGAAATGGCAATAAAATCTAAAATTTTTGTCTTTTGCTAAATATAGCAATAATAAATGCACACAAAAATTTCTGAATTTACAGTATAAAAGAAAAGGACATTTAATGTATTTATTTAAAGTTTAAGTAGCCTATATTTAACATTTCACTATATCAAAACATACAAATAATACTACCAAACCTAAAATGTGAGTTTTGGTTTTTTGTGAAACCTATCCTGTTGCAATTTTCGCTATAATGAAAATATTCGCAAAAATTTCTGAATTTACAGTAAAGAGATTTCAGTTTCCCTCAGGAAAATCTGTACTAAACTTTACAACAACAAAAAATGTTTTTTCACTCCCTATTGTTTATTTTCCTTTTTTGTATGGAGATGGTCCTTTGACCTCTTACAGTCTGTTTATTTTCCAAATCATTTGCTCTACCTGTGTCTCTAGAGATGTTTTAAGATTTCAATGAATGTAACCCATGTATAACTATTCAGTTTGGTATTTTGTTACCACAAATTACTATATTCTTTCATATTAAAAGAAAAAAATGATTAAATATAGAATGATAATTCTATAATATAAAGATTTGGTTTGGAAGGTTAGCTGTTCCTGTAGTATTTTCCGATTGGTGTTTGGTGTCTATTGTATTATTGTTAGTTGATTTTGTGTTAAGTACTGATCAAATGTGTCAAGTCCTTCCCAATTCATTTTTACAATTTGTTTTTATATTGTGATGTAACACCACTGTCCCAGGTTAGGGGAAGATGGTGTGCTCACAAACATGTTAAACCCAGACTCATTCTTTATGTGCCTGTTCCAAGTCATGAACCTGTTATCTAGTGGTTGTCATTGGTTATTGCCTGCAATATCTGATTTTTATCCATTTTTGTAGAATAATCAGGTTGTTGTTGTCCTCTTTTGGAATTGTTTCAAAATTTCTCATACCAGAGCATTTCATGGCTTAATATACAGTATGTGTTTTGCTCATCGTTGAAGGCCATATGGTGACCTACAGTTGTTCACATCTCTTTCAGTCTATATATAGTTGTTTCATTGGCATTCATACCACATGTCCTTATCTTTATATAGTTTATACCCAAGCATTACTTGTAAAATAAGGATTTTTGTTTAGTTGTTTTAACTGTGATTTAATTTGTACATACCTGCCCAGCACTTGCCTCTACAGGGAGCAATGGAGATGGTTTAGAAGCTAAATATAGTACATAGTAATTCCCACTAGGTACACCTTTAACTAATTCTGTTACTTTAGTAGAGAGTGTTTCCCCAGCTGTTCCATTGATGACCTTGACATCAATGTCAGGAAAGTTTCCTGTTCAGATATTAATCAAGTCAGTAGATATTTCATTACAATACATCTGTTCTAAGTAGTGTTTACTGTAGATTCTTTATTATTTGATACCATTTTTCTTGGATTTCACATGTATAGGTAAACCACAAATTTAAATATTCAACAAAGTTCAAATTTTTGTATTGGCTTGTATACAGACTTTGGCAAAACAATGAAATCAATTATCCACGAAAATATAACTTTACTTCAATTCATTAAAATTGGTATCCATAAAAATAAATGAATCACAGTAATATATGAGCTGCGTCGGATAGAAATTGACCTTATGCAAATTCACATATACTTGTACATGTATAAGACTTTGATTGATTTTGGAACATTTAAATACGAAATAAAAGTTTAATTTGTGTCTGTAACATAGGGTTCTTATATCAAATACATTTTCAAACAGTTACAGACTTTGCATACAGATTTTTTTCAACTTCTATTTAACACAGCTCATATGTTTTTAAAAATAAGCATATATAACGGGTTTCAGCAATCAAACTGGTTTAGGTCTACTATAACGGGTTTCAGCAATCAAACTGGTTTAGGTCTACTATAACGGGTTTCAGCAATCAAACTGGTTTAGGTCTACTATAACGGGTTTCAGCAATCAAACTGGTTTAGGTCTACTATGTTTTATAGCATAATATTGTAAATTCTAATATAAAGTGTCATTTTTATATATAGCAAAGTGTGCTAAAATTGCCTGAAAGTGGCATTAAATACCAATATAAGCTCATTTTGACATGGCAGGCATTTTATATATGTCAACATTTTACTTCTCATTGCCACAAATGAATGGTTGATTGCAAATTTGAATAAAAGGTTGTTTTAACATGACCCCTTATGGGATTTGTGTTGCTCAGTCTTTAGTTTTCTGTGTAGTGTTGTGTTGACTGTTGTTTGTGGGGATCGTGTTGCTCTGTCTCTAGTTTTCTGTGTAGTGTTGTGTTGACTGTTGTTTGTGGGGTTCGTGTTGCTCAGTCTTTAGTTTTCTGTGTAGTGTTGTGTTGACTGTTGTTTGTGGGGATCGTGTTGCTCTGTCTCTAGTTTTCTGTGTAGTGTTGTGTTGACTGTTGTTTGTGGGGATCGTGTTGCTCTGTCTTTAGTTTTCTGTGTAGTGTTGTGTTGACTGTTGTTTGTGGGATCGTGTTGCTCTGTCTCTAGTTTTCTGTGTAGTGTTGTGTTGACTGTTGTTTGTGGGGATCGTGTTGCTCTGTCTTTAGTTTTCTGTGTAGTGTTGTGTTGACTGTTGTTTGTGGGATCGTGTTGCTCTGTCTCTAGTTTTCTGTGTAGTGTTGTGTTGACTGTTGTTTGTGGGGATCATGTTGCTCTGTCTCTAGTTTTCTGTGTAGTGTTGTGTTGACTTTTGTTTGTGGGGTTCGTGTTGCTCTGTCTTTAGTTTTCTGTGTAGTGTTGTGTTGACTGTTGTCTTTTTGTTTTTCTTTGGCTTATGAATTTGATTGTCCCTTTGGTTTCTGATTTGCTTCATTTTGTTAAATTTCTGAATATGTTTGAAATATTTACAACTAACTGTGAAGAAATTGACAAGGATTGTCAATCAAATGTTCTGCATTTGAAATTTTTGGCAATATATTATTCATTTATCTAAGTAGCATGAATAACATTGAAAGTATAAATTTGTATTTACCTCTTTCTGACACCATGGTTATATTTATGACAATGCCTGGTGGTCCCTCCATTAATTGTGCTGTTGTTATTGTCACAGATTCCTTGCCATCTAAGAAAGGGAGACTACTCAGAGCATATGCCATTACCTCCCCTTCTGTGATCACATCAAAAGGTTCTAAAAATAAATCATCAAATGTAAGTTTTTATCATATATTACTTAATATCTGTTAGTTCTATATACTGTGGATTCATATATTTTTTGGGGAATCAAGTTTCGTGAATCGCTGAAAAACTCGCATGTTTGTTGATATTTGTTTTCATGGTTTTGCCAAAGCCTGCATATGAGACTATAGAAGATTTGTAATTTGTTGAACACTCAAATTAGTGGTTGACCTGTCCCTGCAAAACCCTTGAAAACTGACATCCCAGGAATAATAATGATTCCACAGTAGTTACACATTCTAATGTCTGTCAACTTATTTTTTTATTGTTTATGATTTCTCAGAAATTTGTTTTACTATCTTATTGTCTCAAATTGTGTCATGTCAACATTAGAGTTTTGTACAAGAACCTTAAACATAGTGGTCAAATAGCATAGGTTCCTGAGAAATCGTCCCTAATGCAAAATATAACCAAACTAATTCTAGAATAAGAAGTATGTTTTTTAATGATCGATGAACAGATTTGGAGACATGATGAATTAAATAATGAATTATTATTGACATATCTTCATAGGTCTCACCATGACCTAATTTTAAACTGACTGTGACCTTTAATTGTTTACATGCTAATTCTTTGGCCTATGATGGAAAGTTATCTCATTGGCAAACATATCAAATCTCCTTACTATTAACAAGCCTGTAATTAGATAAGGCGTCAAGTGACTCATCAATATGCGGTAATGGGTACGCGTCCTTTTTCCTTACGAAATTCATTTTTCTGTTATCTGAGCAAAATTGAGTAAAGCCGTCAGACTTCTTCACCAAGACAATTACTATTATAAATGTTTTAACATCAAAACATAAAACTTGTGCCATAGAGAACCAAATGTTACATTTGTCCAGCTATTATGATGCTAATCTTCTGACATCTAAAGTATCTAAAATAACATCATATTAACTGCTAAATATACAAAAATATAACTCTACCAGTGAAAACACCATAGAAACCGAGCTGAAACTTAGCATCACTCAGATATCCAGCATCCTCTTCAATGGTCACCTGTTGTTTTTCATAAACCTCTGCTCCCGTACTGGTCATCTGAACCTGAACTGACTGGATTTCTCTTTCAACTTTGAAAAAAAAACAATCATAAAGACTCTTGTACTGGTCATTTGAACTTTTATTAAAATAATCTCTATCAACTTATATATATATATAAAAAAACCACCAAGAAAATATGTATCAAGTTATCTTTGTGATATTCCCCTGAACATAGAAAGAAAGTGGTTTTATAAAGGACAGTCTTTCTAGAGAAGTGCATGTCTATCAGTAGATTTTGGAACCTCTATGTATAAGTAGAAATCTACAAAAACTTCTATGCAATGTGCTTTATACTCCTTATTACCAGTATGATAGGTGATTTACATATGGTTTATCTATTTTCACATGAATGATGAAGAGCAATATCTACTGATCAAACGATTGCAGCAATATCTACTGATCAAATGATTGCAGCAATATCTACTGATCAAATGATTGCAGCAATATCTACTGATCAAATGATTGCAGCAATATCTACTGATCAAATGATTGCAGCAATATGTTACTATTATGACTGAAAGAATTTCTTACAAGGAAAAATGAAAAAATATTGCTTGAGTAAGATTCCTTTTTTTCTTGTTATATCTGTGAGAGATATACTTATTTTTTTTTCTTAAGATAGCCATAACAATATTTGATAAACAGGGTTATTGATGAGGTCAGGCTAGATTTTAAAAGAAACTCTTAAAGTGGTAAAGCAAAAAGGGTGGTCTCCCATTTTCAATTTCAAACTGTCACATAACTTATCTCTCAATACCAACCAACATGCACTGAAGCCAAAGGAACTACAAAGGTTCATTTATCTTTGTAGAGGTAACATAAAATATACCTGAAGATGTGACACTGATACTTTGTTTCTCCTGATCAGCCATCCCAGTCATCCTATCGTTAAATTTTGTGTCCAGATGACGAGCAGCGACTCTGATTGTGCTTGATCCTACTCCGGATTGTAAAACTTCAATATAATAACTGAAACAAAAGTAAGGGTATTTTCCTATTTCTTAGATGCATCTAAATCAATTTTCCAATGAAAAGTCACAATAACGTAAGAATTTAAATTTGATATCATTAAATTCAGAAATTTCAATAGTTTACACAATATAAAGGGCACATTGATCTTTTGCTGTTACTTTTATTCATACTTTAATCATGTGTATTTTTTACCACTTACTGTTTATCTTTCTCAAGTTCTATAACATCAGAAATAGAATATCCATAGGATGAAGATGAACTTGCCAACTGAACCTAAAATGAAAGGAAAACATTTATATTAGAAAGACGAATAAAATCATCCACATGCTTCATTGATGATCAGCTTATTATTATCCTTAGATGATTGATTGTTGGTCTTTCATTTTCACTTTTGAGCGACCTTGGCTATTTCGTGGCGGCCAGTTTTTATTGGTGAAGGAAGCACGAGTGCCGCAGAAAACCGCCAACAGGGAAACTGAAAATCCTAGTCAAATCAAATTTGAGTCGAATGCAACCGCACACAGGAGTTCAAACTCACAACCTCAGTGTTGACTGGCTAGTGATAAGAGTAGTTGAACTACTTAAGAACACTCCTCCATCAGGGCCCCCGTTATCCTTAGAAGTATTTGCTATGACTTTTAAAAATGGGTATGATTCCAAAACATTTGGATGATAAATATATATTTTCTAAACACTCTGTTATCTTTTACTTTTGTATTCATAATTAGCATCATACACTGAACAATAGGGTTCAATAGACAGGTCTATAAAAAGCTGCCTACCAGTTTTTAAAGAAGGTTTTCAACGGTTTTGCAAAAAGCTATCAAAATTTGCTTTTTAAATGCATAGCTAGTCACAAGTATAAAATTTTTAAATTTGATTTATTTAGAACAATAGAGATATGATAATCAATAGCCTATACTCTCTAACCTTGTTTGTTGGATCTTGATCAGTGCTTAGATACAGCTTCCCCAGATAATAACACTGTAAATGAAATGTCCATCGTCCTGAATGGGGAGGAACGTAGAATCCATGTATCCTGGTCACATGGTTCCCTCCAATATTTAAATCAGAAAAATAGAAATGGTCAATGACTTTAGTTGTTGTTGTATTATCATCTGTAGTCAAGTCTAAAATCTTTGTTAAGTCATTCAAACTGTAATAGTGGTCGCTGTGACGTTCATATAACAAGCCTCTGTTTCCTAAAATAAATAAACTTTGGTAATTTTATTTTATAATTATAACAGATTTATAGAATAAACTTCTATTTGATGGAACTGAGAGGTATTTCTATTCACCTTTTGTTATATAAAACATATTTTTTGTGACCTTATATGCTCTCCCGGAAGCAAGTTTGGTACTTTAGGGTGTAAGAAATATTACTAAATGCATTCAAGATTATTGCAGAGAGTTAACGTAATACCTACCGATAGTAAATCTATATAGTACAATAGAATCCCTGCAATGGTAAGGAATTGCAAGTAGAGTGTCATTCAAATTTTGGTAAAAAATCTATTTAACACAAACTGTTATTAGTTTGACAATAACATATATACTTTTGGTGCAGTGATTCCAGCAATGTATCATAATGTTATACAAATCACTGTCATTACTGGAAGTTTTTTGATGATAGAAAAGTAAACAGTCTTATTATTTGCATTTTACTTAGCTACTAGTTTCTAAATCAGTCAAATAACTTGATGAAGTAGTCTGTTCATTATCTTCCCTTGACAAGACAAGGGGCACATCCGGCTATTGAACAAGCAGTGAATTGTAAATGTTTGGGAGTTCAATATCATAGGATGTTTGGTGTTAAAACTTGACACATGTATTTTAATTTGTCAAGAATAATATTTGGATCTTCACATTTATCATGAATAGTGTGGTCTTTACCAGAATATCTCAGAGCTGACACTTGTTCATCTGTTTCACAAACTATCAATCCATCTGTCACCGTCTCTGTAACCTGACATTCAGATCCTAAAAACAATAATACAATACCGGGTATAAATAAAAAGACATTCAGTCAATAAACAAAAAGGTTTCATAATGCTATACAATTAGTGAAATGGTTGATTACCTACATGTTTCACAGTGAACCACTCATCATAACCAAGAGTGTTTTTTTAAATTTAACTTCAACATAAACTGAACCTCATGCTTGATTACTTTGAAAAGAACTTGCAGAGTTTTTACCATTAAGGATGTTCACTACTCATGTTTTTAACTTTTTGTCAGATATTCTGAATCTAGTTTTATCCATGTTATACCAAAGAAAATTATGCCCGCTAACCCCTACTTTTCTTTTCATAATTTTATTACATATAGTTTAAAAAGCCATTTTTTAAAATCTTATAAAATCCTTGTTATTTTTTCAAAGTTTTGGAAACATAAAAGTGCCAATGTTAAATGTATGAAAATCTAGAGAATCATTTCCCGTCAAATTTTCAATTGATGATATCTCTAAAACAACGACACGAACTTTTCATTTTTTCTACTTTTTAAATTCCTTTATTTATATACTATCAAATTAAAACAGTCTTTTAAAAAGCTTGTTATTTTGAAACAGAGGAGCAAACATCCCTTAACAAAGAATTTAGCAAAGAAAATGAGGTGTAACAGTTCTTGAAAGATTATTGACATAAATAGATCAACAAGGCCGATCATCACATGCTATTGGTTATATATATATAGTCACTTTGCTCTTTGAAAAAAAAAGGAAATAATAGGAATTCCAAAACCCACTGATATAAATATATAACATTATTGTGAGGTATCATTTTTTGCAGTTTTAATTGTTAATCAAAACTTTTCAATACCTAAATAAAATCTCTATTTCATAATTAATATTTGCTGTTATTGCAAAATGTAAAACTGCATGAATAGAAATAACACAAAAATCCCTAAAAAGGAATAAATACCATAAGGGCAGTTAAAAACATAAGTCAAAGAAAAAAACAACACCATGACCAACAGAAAGAAAAAAAAAACAACACCATGACCAAAAGAAAGAAAAATACAACAACACCATGAACAAAAGAAAGAAAAAAAAATCAACAGAATGACCAAAAGAAAGAAAAAAACCCACACCATGACCACAAGAAAAAAGATTAAACAGTCAACAACACAAAAAAAAGGAAACTTAAGAAAGAGCAACACAATCCCTTCTAAAAACATGGGCTGAACTCAGATGCTCAAGAGAGAATAAATAAAATTGGGTAAACAAATGAAAAAAATAGTTTAACAGTTCTGAATATTTTTCTTCTATTAATCTAACTTCATTCAATGGAATCTGTTGATCAATCCAGGCACGGATTCAGATGGGGGCCCCACCCAGCAGAAGCACTATCCCCCCTAAAATAAGAAAAAAAATGTAATTTATAGGTAAAATTACAGTCATTTTTTTGTCAAAGTATGATCCTCTTAACTCTTAATTCTCGAGACCACCTCCTAACATAAAATCATCAATCTGTGCCTACAATCCATACATCTACCAAGAGCATACCTCCAACAACAACACGAACAGGTTTTTCTGTTTCATCAAAATATTGTCCAGTAATAGACAACCTGGTTCTGCCTTGAGTACTTCCACTTGATGGGGATACACCATTAATAACTGCATAGGTCTGATACATATAGATGTCATCATTTCTGGCTACTCTTATCACCTCTTTCTGTGGCAAAGATCTGAAATTTTAAACAAGTAAAAGGATGAGTCAAATTTACTAATTTACTGTTCAAAAAGATGTCTCACTTATATACATCCAGCAATGAAACTAAACTTCCAGGAACACAAACAGTTTGCAGAAACTTGTACAGATTTAAATGTTACACTTTGTAAATAAATAGCTGATTCACAAACCAGGACTCTTTTGAGGAGATACTTAAATATTCATACATATATTTTTTTTTACCTACTCAGGTTCCCAGATATGATATTTGTGTTTAAACTCTAAGGAATAGGAGAAATGTAAATATTGAAGAAAATGCTGCACAACCCTATGTTCAAATGATGTTCCGTCATTTTTAAAAGCAAGAAATGCATTATACATGTATATTGACTGCAATATCAAAATCAAGCAATGAATTCTAACTTGTGCTCATAAAGGCGTGTGAAATTGACGATATTTTCCAATGAAAGACATGATTTCGAGAAATAGCCTATTAAAAAGTTTTAGCCTGGTCAAGATTGTATGAGCAACAGAACAAGAATCAGGAACACTACTAAAACATAATGTCTTTATTCAGCAACTTTAACAATGGCATCATTGATATTTTTAGAACAGAAAATTCAAGCACCATGTATAATTTATGTAATATATCTGAGTATATATTTCATTGATAAATTTCTTGAAATGTTGATGGATTGGATGTGCAGATTGTTGTGCTTAAGGATGTACTTCGGTCAGGTTTAGGAATTTTTGTCAGATGTTCAGACTCCTTCGTTTTTTTCCTTCGATACAGGGTAAACTATTTTGCCCCATAACAACCATTTTTCTTTTCATACAAGACTTCAATAGCTCATAAAAGGTAATTTACCAAAATTTAAGCAGATTGTAGATTTCTTTTCTTTCGATTTGAGAACCAAATAATACAAATGCAATTATAAATGTATAAGTTAAAAGTCTGAGTCAGCCTTTTCCAGCCATTTAAAAAAAATTAAATATCTTTAAAAGGAGCTCCATAACCTATCAATATTTTTAGCTTATTTTGTTCCTTAACTAATGCTCTTCTGACTTATAGTATCAATTTCAAATTCTAGATTTTTTTAATTTCATCTAAGTACATCCTTAATGCATTTTGTTTTTTTACTTCAAAGTAGTTATAAATTCTGGAAATTTGAGAACTATCAAAAGAGGGACGAAAGATACCAGAGGGACAGTCAAACTCATAGATCGAAAACAAACTGACAACGTCATGGCCAAAAATAAAAAGACAAACAGACAAATAATAGTACAGATGACACAACATAGAAAACTAAAGACTAAGCAACACGAACCCCACCAAAAACTGGGGGTGATCTCAGGTGCTCCGGAAGGGTAAGCAGATCCTGCTCCACATGTGGCATCCGTCGTGTTGCTTATGTTATTACAAATCCGGTAAATAGTCTAATTCGGTAAGTCACATTCGTGAAAAGGGAAGGGTATTGTGTAGTTACGACATAAGGAACATATCCGATATCATCTGTGAAACGGTTATTCCATAATGGTCAACCAACTCGTGATGGCGTCCGTAAAATTTACGAAGGGATGACTTCAACTTCACCATTTGAAACTCTTGGTTTAATAGCTTCCTTGTGAGCAGCAATCCTCTATCAAGGAAATCATGATAGGAAACACAAGCCCGGGAATATCGTATCAATTGGGAGATATATACTCCGTATGCAGGCGCTGCTGGAATGTTGCTACATAGAAATGGAAAGTTCACAATTGGGAAGTTGAAATCATCTCTTTTGTCGTAAAGTTTTGTTTTCAACCAACCCTCATTGTCAATTTCTAGATGTAAGTCAAGATATGAGGCAGACTTAACTGTATCTGTAGTATCCTTTATCTCTAGTTCGATGGGATAGATTCGTTCAACATAGTCACCAAATTTTGTATTATTTAGTGAGAGAACATCATCTATATAGCGGAACGTAGAGTTAAAGGATATTGCTAACTTCTTATCTCTCTTCCTAAGAAGCTCCTGTATGAAGTCAGCCTCATAATAATAAAGAAACAAGTCGGCAAGAAGAGGGGCACAATTGGTTCCCATTGGAATTCCGACAGTCTGTTGAAAAACACGTCCTCCAAACGTAACAAATATGTTGTCAATCAAGAAATCAAGCATCTTGATAATGTCAGTTTCTATCAAACCAGCCCTATAAGAGTTTTGATTGTATGAATGCAATCTTTTACACATAAAAAATCCAGGTGATGATTTTCAGCAAGGATAGGCACTATCCAAATCCTTGTATTCAGTTTGAAATTTTTGACATTTTGTTATGTCAGGGCTTTTACTTTAGGATATATGGGTTTTGCTCATTGTTAAGGTCGTAAGATTTCCTATAATTGCTAATATGCTTATGGTGATAGGACGTGCCACTGGAATAGGTCACCTTTTCAAGCTTGAAAATATGTGAATAGGTCGGGAAAACTATCAGAAATATATGATAAGGTCAATAAAGTTCCCATAACTTCTTCGCTTGTCATTTTTGATGGTGTTCTCAGCTGTGTTTTTATCAACCAATTTTCTCTTTTTTGACACTTTGGTATTCCACTCTTACATTACATACCAAAAAACCCAAACAATATGGGAAAGGGTTACATTTTTACCTACACAATATATGAAAAGGTATACATTTTTAAAATCTAATTTATATGAAAGGGTGGGGTAACAGAACCCCAGCGGCACCCCCTATCAATTAAGTAGTGAAGTAGACCCCCCCCCCCCCCCGAGATACTATTAAACAATTTTTTTGTTAAAAAAATGTTCTTTTTTTCTGGGAAATAGAAATATTTATCTAGTGTTAAAAAAATATTTTTTAACTCATAATCTATACTTGAAGTAGAACAAAATTCATGAAAAATGCAGTTAATTTTTCAAAAGATAAATTGTCCTAGGCACTGGCTACGGTTACATGGAAATATAACAATAATATAAAAAATTATTGTTACATTGGAGACTAATTGCCGGAATGCAGGGTTGGGTAAGGAACCGATTAATTACGAATGTAACAATAATATTTGGGTCTACGGTTACATTGCGTTATTGTTACATTAACACACTGCAATGTACGATGGGAATAGTAATAAATATGTATTAAAATAAAACTTGAAAACTTTTATTTGATATTTACAATATTGCATACAATATTTTGATTTTTTATTTACAATGACAGTTTCTACAAATTCAGTATGTTGTTTTTGGAGCATGTTTTAGTCTGACACATTTTCGGTGAAACCACTCTAAGCAGCCATCACAAACCAGTGATACGGCAATGTGCACGCTCTATATTGCATACCGTACATTTCCATTCTGCATTTTCCCTTTATGAAGTTTAAGAAACTTTCAATGTCTGAATGCCATGCTTCTGGTGAAAAATATTTTGTTACTCTTGCGATGTTTACATTTTCGTCCAATATTTTTTTTTTGAAGCATGTTAGGTTGTTTAAATACAAGTCAATTGTGAAAGCAATTAATGTTGACATTTGCCGACAGATTGAAATTGGTGGAAACAGTGTTTTCATTTTCAGATTCCAGATATTTTGTGATCTTATCAGTCGTGACAGTACATGCTCTATTGAACAGTTCATTAAGTATTCATCAATAGTGATATTGAACTAAACTGTAGTAGTCATGATTTTTAACAACACCAAAACAATCAATACTTATTCGCTGAATAATATTATTATTATTAATATTATCTAGTACATATCGAAGAATTAAGCAACATAACTATAGAAGGTTTAAGTTTAATAAATCTATCATACATTGCAGTCTTTAATGTAACAATAACATGAATAACGCAATGTAACCGTAGACCCAAATATTATTGTTACATTCATGATTAATCGGTTCCTTACCCAACCCTACATTCCGGCAATTAGTCTCCAATGTAACAATAATTTTTATATAATTGTTACATTTCCATGTAACCGTAGCCAGTGCCATTGTCCTAAGTTACAAGGCTATGAAAACTTAAAAAAAACAACTTTTTAACAAGAATATAGTTCTTTGGGCAAGATAGCCTCCTATTTTTTATGAACTTGTTTCGTATAACGTTTCAGCTATTAACTCATTTTCGTTTTTTAAGATATCAACTTATTACTAAACTGCTAAATTGAGGATGTACCATGAGTCAGCCCAGGAGTCCATGAAGAAAAGCTGAAGTGGTAAAGTTGGACAATGTATACAAGTAATGCTGTTCTTTCATGCATTGCTAGATATTTTTCGAAATATAGGCTTTAGTTTACAGAGTTAATCGTAAACGACAAAGTTGAACAGCACACTCAATGAGAGAGATTATGTTGGGTCGTTCCAGTTTCGGGGAAGGAAACAGAAATAACTAGTGTAAATCTGTGCCAATATTATATTAAAGGCGGTGGCTATTTTGAAAATATCTATACTATTTTGCCGGCTCTGATTAAAATATCTTAATTCAGCCGGCAAAATAGCATATTACTATAGAAATGGCTATTTTACCAGCACCGGCAATATAGTGAATTTGTTGCTGGAAAAATAGAAGCGGAAGCCAAGAATAAAAAAATTCTTTAAATGCAGAAAAGAACTGCAATGATTATACTTGATGCACCAATACCAGAGACATATAATATATGTCTCTGCCAATACTAACACCTAGTATAAATTTATTTAAAGAGCTAAAATGGTTAAATTTCAAATCTAGAATTTCATATCATAAACTTATTCTTGTTCATAAAATTCTCAACGATAAAGCACATGATTACTTAAAGGAACTCTGTTGTCCAATTGTTAACCCACATAGAAGAAATCTAAGGTCATCTGCAAATAATAATTTAGCTGTTGTGCGACCGAACACAAATTCAATGAAGAAATCTTTCGCATATAGCTCCTCAATACTTTGGAATAAACTACCAAATGAAATAAAATGTTGTGAAATCCTGGACACTTTTAAACAAAAATGTATAGATTTCTTGACTGTAAATGATTTATAACAACTCACTCATATATTTTAATGATTTGGTATTTTATGTATATATATGAATTTAATTTTCTCTTGTTCTACAGACAATGTATAGTTAGCATGAATATTGCATCTACATAATATGTTCAAAATTGTAAGCTTTGTAATATTTGTACTATTTGTTCTTAGTGAGGGCCTCAAGGTAGATTAGTGAATGCTAATTGAGTCGCCCTCCTTAAATAAAGTCATTACTTACTTACTTACTTCAGTTAAAAACTATTTTGTTTTATATGCAATTCAAAGAACTGACTATTATTTCAAATGAAAATTTAATTTAAACATTTTTGATTTTGGAAGCTATGTGATTGATTTTGTTACGTTGTATCAGAGACATATAATACAATATTATATGTCTCTTAATGTATAATGTTTTATCTAATTTGTGATGCAATGAGATTTTTAACTTTTATCTTTTTATAACATACAGCAGAGACATATGCATGATATATAATACTTTCTCTGCATACAGTTAAAAAATCTGAGATTGCATACATGTTATTTTCACTTTGACTGATAAATATTTTTGAACGATTATATGTATCTTAAATATTGTCAGCTGTTTTCTTATTTACCTACCGGTATATCCGTTATTATTTGGTTCTTTTATGTTGACAGTGCACATTTTCGTAGTACTTTTTAAAACTAAATATTAAACTTTCACTCTTTACAAATAACCGGCTATTTTGCCGGCTTGAATTAAGATATTTTTAACCAAAGCCGGCAAAATAGCATATTTTCTATTTTGCCGTGGTGCCGGCAAAATATCTACTGTCTATATTAAAAGTGATTCTTTCTTACAGTATTGTTGTCATTGTGGTCATATATTAGATAGAAAATCCTAAGGCGTTTTGTTGGGATACCGCGTGAGATGCGATCAATCAGCACAATCACCTAGGATAGATGTAGCCTTTTTAACTATTCAACGAGAGAACATTTAGTCTTAGATTCAATGATTTTTTTATTAGTTGGTAGTGGCTTTGAACTAGCTGTCAGTAACTGCGAGTACTCTCAGATCTGTACTTAGTGTCTTTTTGTTGTTTGGATGTACAAGTACCCGGCCACGTCCACTTGTATTTGTAGTATTTGTATTTTTATCCATCTGATGAGTTAAGCCTCTTTCATCTTTTTAAGTATTCGCATTGGATTGTCAACTCCTCTTTGAGTAGGTAGTTTTACAATAACTCTAATGCCCGGTTTCATGATCTTTCATTGTTGATAAAAAAAATGTTAACAATACAGAACGATTTTTGATGGAGCATTTGGCAGACTGAGGCCCAGCAACATAACATTTTCTATAAGGAAAAGTATGTAATTTGGGTATCCAAATCATATAGTTTGTATTAAATTCATCCAAAAAATATTTCATTTTCATTTTTTTCAATACCAAAGTATTGTCTGCAGGGCGGGTGGTATATTCAAAAACTAATGGTCCACCATTAGCGGTAACAACCCAGACAAAGCGGAAAACAAAACTATGACAACGATTTCCATGCGTAAGACACGCGTTTTCCCCTTACATCAAATGCGCTACTAAAGACCAAACTTCTGGAAAGCAAAAGCTATATAATGTTTTAAAGCATCAATAACAGAAGGACCTAAACAGAACAGCCAAAACCTTTGCCTGAGGGACTTACATAACTTACTTAGTTTCAGTAATTTGTGACAGTGATATTTTTCATTTACTTTTAGTGTGAAAATATAGCAACTTTTAGATTCATTTATTTCATTCAATTTATCTTTCAGACAATTCTTCTGTTTTCTTTGATGTCAGTCGTTTTAATCTTAAAAGACTTTAACGACATGTATGTGCTAATTACACCGTTTTTGACATTACATTTTGAATCATGGCATGACTCCAGCATTCTTGATAATTTATGCGAGATGTCCCCAGGGTTTACATGGGAAAATAAAATTGCAGTATAATCTGCATATATCAAAACTTTACAATCTGAGTCAATGCTAGTTATAATCCGTTTGTCTACCTTGGTTTGAGTACTATAAGACAAACAGATAACAGGTTGTAAGTGTAAATGGGGTAACTTCAGAATTGTGTAATATTACATGTGGTGTCCCTCAAGGTAGTATACTGGGTCCACTATTGTTTTTGATCTATGTCAATGATGTTCAAACTAGCATTGACTCAGATTGTAAAGTTTTGATATATGCAGATTATTCTGCAATTTTATTTTCCCATGTAAACCCTGGGGTCATCTCGCATAAATTATCCAGAATGCTGGAGTCATGCCATGATTGGTTAACTGACAATAAATTGTCCCTACATTTGGGAAAGACGGAGTGTATAATTTTTGGTCTTGGTCGAAAACTTCGGTCTATAATACCGGGTGATTTTGCTATCTCCTGTAATGGAATTAATATTGAATCCAAAACTTTTGTAAAATATTTGGGAATAATAATAATTTTATATTGATCAGTTTCTGAATGGTGATTTTATTGTCAACTCTATAGTAAAAAAGTCAACCAAAGGCTTAAGTGTTTATATAGAAACAAAGAGTGTCTAAATTTTCAATCTAGGAAATCATTGTGCTCTTCTCTGATTCAATGTCATTTTGTATATGCATGTGCATGCTGGTATGAAGGTATATCAAAACAAATGAAGAATAAACTTCAATTGGCGCAAAATTAGATTGTGAGATTTATTCTGCAATTACATCCTAGATAGAGTGTGGCATATATTGAATATGAGGAATTGGGGTTTTTAAATATTAGTAATAGAGTCAAACAACTAAGACGTAATAATGTTTTCAATATTTTTAACAATATATGCCCAAATTATTTGCACACTAATTTTGTTAGAAATGAAACATCTTTCAATACTAGATCTAGTAATAAGAATTTTTATATACCAGGAATTAAAGGGTGTGAATCTACCACTTTCTTTTATAATGGAATAAAAAGACTGGAACTCGTTGCCAGAAATAGTTAAAAGTTGGATAAATTTAAATCCATATTTAATAGTGAATTTGTTTTTTATTAATTTTATCAAGGATTTGTATAGTAAGATATACAAATGCTTGGTCATCCTAAGGTATTAGGCTGCAGTGATAATCTAGTCTATATAATTCACTCAATATAATCTAGTCTATTATCAAAATATCATGACAATTTCCATAATTTTATTTTTTAAATTACAATTTTTAGTAAACATGTATTTTGTTTGTTTATAGCTAATCATGATGTAATATTACATGTAGTAGATAATTAAAATAAGAACCCGACAGACTAAGGCAAGGACGTTGAATTTATAAGTATACGGAAACCCGTAGTGAACAAAACATTTATACTGGACTTTGCCGTGTATTTACATGTATGATTTATGATTTATACTGTGTTTAACATTAATTGTGGTTGTATTTGAAATTGAATTAATATATCATTTGGTATCCGAATTGATGTTTTACTTATTTATACTGTGAGCTACTCCCCACAACATTTGTTATAGCAGGGTTGTCCTAAAACCCTTTTATAATATTATATCTAGTATAATTTAGGGGACTCCTATTTGATAGTCCGTGGTTGGAGGCAGGAGACATTTTATTTGCACGAACATCTATTTTCAATCATTGGGAGACGAATTATTTCAGAGACAATGTTGCCTTTTTTTTTCATTTCTCATGCGCGACTTATTCCTACATTGTGTAAGTCAGGATTTATAGTTTTTACTTTGGCTTTGAATAGAGTATTTGTTTTTGTCAGTTCCACTTTCAGGTTATTTTTTTTCAGCCCCCCCCCCTCCCACGCACTCCTGTAATATCAAGTGATCGTCAACCTTATTAATTGAAAATTTTCCCAGAAATGTATCAGTTTAGTTATGCCGGTAACGGTGAAAACACGTGTAACTGTCGAAGTCGTTTTACTTTTTAGTTTACTTTTTTTTTATTAAATGTAAAATGTATAGTTACTTACCGACCGTAGTGTCCTTCTATTATAAAACTGGCATTAAAGTTTCCTGTAATGAACATGTCCCGATAGTGTTATTGTCATATACAATGTTTCATTTTCAGTCATTGGATGTAACTAATTTAATATGAAATAAAATATAAAAAGACTTAAACGAAAGTAGCACATGTATATCACAAGTTTTTCACTCCTAATTTTCAAACATGACACCCTTAAATAGCAAACACATTTTAGTTGAACAACATGTATATGTCATTAACTTAAAGAAAATGATAAAATCTTGAAGTCTGTCAGAGCAACAGAAGTATAAGTTACAACCCAAGAGAATTAACACAAACACAAGAAGAGCATGAAGTCGATACATATATAATAAATGCTAGCTCTATGTATCCAGACTCATAAACGTTTGTGTTATCCGTAATAAATGCTAGCTCAATGTCATGATCCAGGCTCATGTGTTAACGGTATTAAACGTTTGTGTTATCCGTAATAAATGCTAGCTCAATGTCATGATCCAGACTCATGTGCTAACGGTATTATATGATTCCTGTATTGTCATTGAAAAAAACGAGAACAACGCGTTATAAATTCCATGCTTCCGAAGCGCTTTTTCTGGATTTGAATTCATCAGGAATGCCAAAAGCTGAATATTTGAAAGCCAAGTATGTAAAAGAACCGAAACAGTTGAAAAGGACCCCAAAAATAACAGCCAAATCCATCTAAGGTCAACTTTGTATGAGGTAGTTGAAAACTCAGTTTCCTGATGATATCTAAAATAAAAGGACAATTCAAGAAAGGTTTGTTTTAAATCATGTCAGGACCGAAGTACTGACCATTGACCATTGAGCTGATGATACTTTCAGGGACTGATAGGCCACCAGCAGCGGTATCGACCGAGTGCTGTAAAACAATGATAACAACAAAAATTAAATAAATGAGCTTTTCTGGATTTACCTTCACCAGGAATGCTGGAAGTCGAATATTTATAAGCCAAGACTGTATAAATAACAGTTGATTAGCTATATGACCAAAAAGAACACAAATAATAGCAAAATCCATTGAAGGTCATGTTTGTCTGAGGTAGTTGAAACCTTAGTAAATTATTAATTTTTATATATTTATAAACAGACAGTTTAAGAAAAGTCTGTTATTAATAATGGTGAGTATATCAACCGAAAGAGTATCTTCGAGACTCTGGGAAATAAACACTCACCTACAAATGTCCCTTTCATTAAACATTTTATGTAACCATAGGTACTGTATCCTCCATTGTTTAACTCGAATCCGTAGCTGGAAAATTAGAATAAGAAGTAATTTTGCCTTAACCAAATTGTATTAGAATGGATTTATAATCGATGACAGTCAAGCAATTTGAAATCTTCGAACATGACCCCTGTTCTGTTGTTTCAGAAGATAATTCCATTGAATGCTCCCAATATCCTCAAATAATTTTACAATCTTTATTTTATTTATCTTTGCTAAAATTATTCTTCTCAAACTCAAAAGAATCATGTTTTATAATATACAAATTTGCATGTAAATATCTATTTTTTTTAAGGGGAAATGAATTTATTCCCAGTAGAAAAAAAAGAGAGTAGTAAGAATGGGGAATAACACATGAACTGATCTACAAGAATAAAAAAAAAGACGATGTTTTTTTGTTTTTCGTTTCAGTTAAGAACTATACATATATACTAACAATGTGTCATTCTCTGCCTTCATTTCACAAAGCTGTCCTGCAGCATACACCCTGAAATGAAAATCCAACATATTTAAAGGGAAATCACACTATTTATACTACTAATAATAATTCATTGAAATTTTGCATGTAGACAGATCATACTTATTAAGATATTTTAGGCGAAAAAAAAATTGGGGTCACCGATGTTGTTTTCGAGATATGACGTCATCAAAACTTAAAGAATCGCGTTATAACGAAATATAGAAATACCGCTTTAAATTGTTCAAAAAAGACAAACTTATTGAAAAACCATGTTTAACTGGAATAACAAAAACAGTCAAATGTAACTTGTACCTTATGAACATTTATTTGTCTCGGTTTCCTTATTTTTGAAGGCCTTTGAACGTTTCCCGCAATTTTTAATTGCTATTTATAATAGATTTTTCTTGAAATAAAAAAAATCTACTAATGTTTTTCCCTTCAAACTTCTGCATAAGTTGCAGCTTCAGGGAAGATTTTAAAAGCATAAATAAAAAAGGGGGGTCACCGATGTTTTAAATCCGCTAAAACGGAAATAATCTTTATTATTGAATTTTGGCGGGAACTATAACCTTTTAACGTTATAGAACGACGTTGCTGGCATAACAGCATTTCTTGCAACGTTTGCGGGTTGAATTAAACCATTTCACTACAAAATATGATATCATTTTTGAACATTTTTTAAGGTATTTTGATTATTCATTGATATCTTTATCAATCTATCGAATCGTTAAACATAGATACAATACTGAACAGTTTATTATAAAGTAATTGTCAAAGTTGAAGTCATCTCATTTTTTAAATTGCATTTGTTGTATGGGGAAAACGAATGTTTGCCTCATGCCGTATTATAGAAATAATTTTCGGCTTCAAGATAAAGAATCTTCTACCTCGGAAGACTGAGGGTATCCGGGCAGAAAAGTAACACGTTCCTTTTAGACTGCAGGCAGAATAATTTCGTTACCATAATTTCACTAGCTTGTCCATTCGCACCGGGAAGATAAAACCTGAAATGCCGTGTTAAAAATGCCACAAACTCAGCACGCTAAAAGAAACCTATTTTCGGTAGGAATTTAAAATTGGTTCCGTAATTACACAACGCTTCATAATTTATTTGAACTGTGGAAACCAATTTTTTTTCTGAGTTCTATCATCCCGCACCCATTTTTCATACATCGTTGCATGTTCATTGTACATAATATGTTCAATGTTCATCGCCTGTGTATTAAAACTTTATGTATTGCGTATATTTTATTACCGTTCGATTCAACGTGGGTATTTTATGAGAAATACAATGCATCTGATAATTTAGAGTTAATTGACAATGAAATACACATCGCCATATTGATATCAGGAACATATAATGTTCCCAGTTGATGTATTTAAAAGAATCTTTAAATTTGTAATAAACGGGTCTAGTTTTTTTTTCTTGTTCTGCTACATCTATCCGTGTTTCTGTGGACATGTCAATATATTTTATCTAACTCTAGTTTTTTGTCGAGCCTTCGACTTTAGTCGAAAAAGCAAGACATAGCGATCCTACATTCCGTCGTCGGCGTCGTCGTCGTCGGCGGCGGCGGCGTCCACAAATATTCACTCTGTGGTTAAAGTTTTTGAAGTTTTAATAACTTTCTTAAACTATCCTGGATTTCTACCAAACTTGGACTGAAGCTTGTTTATGATCATAAGATAGTATCCAGAAGTAAATTTTGAAAAAATAAAATTCCTGTTTTTCCATGCATATTTGACTTATAAATGGACTTAGTTTTTCTTCCAGTTAACATTACATACAGTATGCAGTTAAAGTTTTTAAAACATTTATTAGATCCATAACCTATCCTAGATTTATACCAAACTTGGACAGAAGCTTCTTATAATCAAAAGATAGTTCGACAGGAATATTTTTATTGATTTTTTTCCTCATTTTTGTTGAGCCTGCGATTAACAGCAAAAGTAGGCGAGACACTGGGTTCCGTGGAACCTTTACGATTTATTTTATCAGATGACAAATGAGAGTGTGGATAACCTTTGATGTAGAATAAGAGTTCGAGTTCCAGCTAAATTTAGAGTTAAAGTTCCAGTTTTATTTTTAGTTCGAATGTTTATTCGAGTAAGAGTTCTAGTTAAAGCTCGAGTTCCACTTAGAAACTTCAGAGTTATACTGTAAGATAGAATAAATTCTGGTAATAGTTAAAATTTTGAAATCTGAGATCGGATGAAATTAAAAGAAAGATTGCAGTTTCTATATTTTCTGTTGGTGCACCTCTCTTTCTTGAATTGTATATTCTTTTATCACATTTATGTTTCAGTATGGTATAGCCTATATACTTTTTTTTGCCAAAACTGATTAATGATAGGTAATTTGAAAATAACTGATTGATTGTGTGTGCCACTTTCAGCACTCTGCTATTTCATGTTGGTCGTTTTTTTTAAAGAATAAAGGTATCAAGAGTAAATCAGCTACCTTTGTATTAAGCAAATGGTTGTCCTTTACAGTCATGATCGGAATCTGACAATCTCCCTATATCACTGTTTGTTGACATGCAAGTGATCACAATGAGTGATCTGAACACGAACCTACATCTTAATTACTAGTTTTTGTTTTGTTTTTTTTTCCGTTTTTTTCTTGATTTTTGCAAAACTTTCAGTGGCAAATATTACATGAATATCAGCACAAATTTTTTTTCTATATGAGATGAATACTCTTTCACAAGACGGACCTTAATGTGATGGTTACAGATTAGCACTCTGAAAGACATGTTACTCTACATAAATACATGTGTGTGTGTTAAATATTTCTCTTGTTGGAGACTTGTAAAGCCAAATATACAGTGTGGATTTTTTGTTGTTGTTGTAGGCAGTACGGTCATCAATAGTACAAAAATAACTAGGCATAGTGTTTGATATTCCCAGATTGCTCTGACGTCTAGCGGCCTTATTTTTTAACTTGCTGGTCGTACAGTTCGCTATAATTGACAGTTTGAAGAAATACTACAAAATATGATTTTTTTTGTGCCCAAATTATGTAAGCCTGTACAAAGCATTAAAGGAAGATTGCGTATAATGTACTATATAATCAAGGCTAAATTTTCTTTGATTTCGACAGCCAGCAACCGATTTAAAATTTTGTATGCTTCTTTTACAGTGATGTTTAACTGGCGTTATTCTTAAATAACGTTTGATATTTTTAAATATGATTACTCTACGAATCACTCGTGTTCATGTGTTTGTGCCCCCCATACCCCACTCCCCCCCCCCCCCAAAAAAAAAGAAACAGAGAGAGAGAGCGAGGCGTTTGACACCAAAGGAACAACGAAACTCGTTTCTTATTTACATCCCTCTGTTGGACAGAAAACTACAAATGCCGGAAGCTGTACGCTTACATGCTGTTACTTTTGGTATATTGTTATTTTTTCCAGTAAATTCCCACATACCGCATCGCAGTTGGGTTACACTAATGACAGGACAATTGCCCGTATTGACCGGATGAGATATAAATAGTCAGAACTTTTTTGTTATTTGATAGATTATTTTAATATTTGAAGACCTTAGAAATATTAGACTATATTTTATGAAAATCTAACAAAAAAAAGTTGACCGGACGGATTTCACACTCACTGATGTACGCTTTACAATATTGAACTGATCGACAAAAAGTTTTACTGTAATATCTCTTTTGTTTTACAATATTTTTTCATACAACTAAGAAATCTGCGAGATTAATAGTTATCTTATATGAAAATTTAAACTTCATAGTAAAACAAAATGTTTTTCTAAAAAAAAAAGTTGACCGGACGGATTTCACATTCGCCGATGTCCGCTTTGATTATACTGAAATGGTCGACAAAAAGTGTTATAAATATCTCTTTTGTTTTTAAATATTTTTTTTCTTCGTGAAACTAAGAAATCTGCGAGATCAAAAAAATTGTTAATATATGAAAATATAAACTTTACAGTAAATAAAAAAAGTTTACAAAAAAAAGTTGAGCTGACGGATTTCGCTACAAATAATAAAGACCAGATCAACAAAAAATGTTGATATTTCTCATATCTTACAATATTTTTCGATGAAATTAATAAACCTTTAAGAAAAATAATTGTATAAATGGTATTGTATGTAAATACTAACTCAATAATAATAATAATAATAATAATAATAATAATATCTTTATTTAAAGAGAGTAACTCATTTGAATTAAACCCAATCGTAAGGTAATTCAAGACCATATCAAGACCACTTTCGGCTATTTTTTTGCCATACATTTTGTCCGTTTCGAGTAGCATTTTCATTTTTTGCACTTAAATCAAAACGTCATTTGCTTTCTCTTGCTTTAGTGAACATCCTTTTGAGCGGGCCGCCATTTTAGAAATTAGCAACCTTTACGACGGACTCGAAACGGCGACGTCATAATACGGTCACGACACTATAGCGGCGCCGAGAGCGATGCGTATAAACAATAGTGTGATTTCCCTTTAAACTAACATATAGAAGATGTGAGAGTAATGTCAATGATACAGCATCCAAACAGCTCAACATTTAGAGATGAAACATATTCCACCAACTTACGTTTTATGCAGTAACTTTTGGTTGTCACCGTAAGGTATCTTCAGGGTATATGCATAACATTTATGTGTTCTTAATTTTTGATATTGCAACAAATTTATGTAACCATAGGTACTGTATCCCCATTGTTTAACTCGAATCCGTAGCTGGAAAATTAAAATAAGAAGCATTTTTGCCTTAACCAAATTGTATTAGAATGGATTTATAATCGATGACATTCAAGCAATTTGAAATCTTCGAACATGACCATAGTCATCATTTCGATTTTTATTTTATAAAATGTCTCACATTACATTTTAAGATTGATATATTTTACTGAGGGTCTATGTTTACTTTTTCTATGTTAAGATATTTTACCTCAAAATACGTTCTGTGACTCCATTTTTTATTTCTTCGGGGAAGACATTGCTTCCGTACACACCGGTAAATATTTTGCCATTAAGGTGAAGAATGCCCCCTAAAATGAATTAATTGATTCACGAATCAATCTAAAGACAAAAAAAAATCATCATTTCGCTATCGAAACTTTAAATGTTGCAGATGTAGTTCTTTCAATTGAACTCTTCAAATCTAGTTTATACGAGAGACTCGAGTATTTTTCTTGTGGTAGACTTCTAAAATATTATAATGAAAGCATTATACATAATGCATTTAATTCAATTTTTCAGAAATTCAAGAAATTTGATTAATTTTTGTTCATGTTCATCCTCATCAAGGCGGTCTTTTATTTGTTGATTACGAAATACAATGTAGGTCTAAGTCTGTAATAAGTATAATACTATAAAAAAAATAGAAGTGTTATGCATGTCAGTAAATATTATTTGAACTATGCAAAAGAGTTAATCAGTAATCAATATTCAATTCTGATATTCTTTTCCATTCGTTTTTGCTGAATGTCACGCATATTCATTTTTTTTATACTTCAGGAAACAGCTTATATGAAGCTTTGAAGTATAATGTGCCACAACTTGTATAGTGTTCAGTTATTTGTCTAATTTTAAGCATTGTTGGTTTATTTAAAAATGTTTATTACCTGGAATTCCAGATTGAGACTGTGGTTCAAGGCTAGTAATTGTCGGCGTGTACCATATACTGGGCTAAAATAAAGCAGAAAAGTATTTTCATTGATGCTTGAGGCTAAAATATTTGAAATTGTAAACCTAATAGAAACGTTGAATATATAGCTGATATATCGAAAAGGACCAAAAATTTAACCAAATCAAGACAAGGATTCAGCTATGCACGAAGGATGATACATTCATGAATTTTATTATTAATACAATGTTTCCCCCGATAATTAGACTGTATTTAAAAGGAAAATTAAAATGTATGTTAAAATTATGCAATTTACTCTCGAAATAATTGAAACAATATAGCATACTCTTCAGAAGTTTTTATAATGTTTTAGATTTGATGTTCCTGGTGCGCGCGTCGTCATGTTACCCTACGTAAAAATTACGAGAAGAAAACCAATTGGCAATACAAAATCTTAAGCCTGAGAAGAAAGAACACCACGAACACAAGAAAAGAGAAGACAATTAATTAATACTTATACAAAGAAAGGTAAAGATTAAGTAACACGAATGCCATCAAAAGCTGAAACAGTGCTACGAAAGTTAAGCATTTACCGTTTCACTAGTACCACCGTTTATGCTGTTCATGCTAAGTTAAAGTAGTATTTGATGAAAAGTCAAGAACTTTAAAGAAAGACTAAGATTGTTGCTTAGATAACAAGATCGTTTTTCTAGTCATCTGTATTACAAAATTATACCGTAACGCTCAACCAGATCATGACGGCCCCTTACAACTATAGAGATGACTTCAAAGTAAATTACCATTAAGGTGGCTGGGTGGTATAAATATCTAATATAGGATTTGGCTAATACTTTTTATAAATCAAATTTATCATATATTAAGTGGAAAATAAAAATAAAAAAATGGGTTCACCGTCTAGTTAAATTTTTTTGAAGGGTTCAAGTTTATTGGTTTTCATTCAAGATTACTATAGAAATGATAGGGAAATGAATGCATAGCCATCTTTTTTGAAGAATTTCTCATGAAACCTAATATAGGATTTTTTAATGTTTGTGTTTTTTCTGTTGCTTAAATAGTCTTTTTAAATAATAAAAAATAAAATCAACAAGTCACCGTCTAGTTAAGACAAAAAATGTAGATCATTAAAAATAATGAGTAATATTTCAAAAAGGGAGATAACTCTGTCTTTTACACATTTTTCTAATTTTGAGACCAGATATAGAAAGACCTGGTTATAAAAACTTGTTATACCTTCTATACATGTAAGACAATATATAATATATATAACATTTCCAAACAGTCGATTTGCATATTGGTTGCCATGGCAACCAGCAGTCAAAATGTAAAATCACTAATTTTTGGGATTTTTTTAAATTTTCAGTTCAAATTCATTATAGGGTGCACTGTTTGTTTTTAACATACGGATTAATACTATGTGTATTCATTGCTATTGCATAATAGAGCGACAATACTTACTACGAAAGAACATCTATAATCGGTGGAGTATCCACAATGTCGATTTGCCAGAACAGCCTCTCCATCAACAGAAACTCTAATATAGTAAGTGTCTCCAACCATATTTCTATTTCAAAAAAAAAAAAACTTTTGGTTAGCGTTCAAACCATTTAATACTTATTTAGATTGTTTTTATTTCCCTAATTATATACCTCGTCTGATGTTGTATTTAGCGTAATTTACATCCCACTTCGAGTTTATTTTAAGTTATGTAAAAGAGAGGCGAAAGATACCAAAGAAATATTCAAACTCGTAAATCGGAAAACAAACTGACAATGCCAATGCAAAATAATGAAAAACGACCAAAAGACAATGATCAATATTCAAAACACAACATAGAAAACTACAGCAACACGAACCCCACCAAAACTGGGGGTGATTGTTCTTAAATTAAAGTTGCAACCTCAACAGGAAAAAAATGAATTTACATTGTTTTGGTTGTTCTGTTCAGGACCATATGGTTTTAATGCTCTCAAACGTTTTATATGTTTGGCTTCCCGAGCTTCCCTCTCGAACGATTCTGGTGACATTACATACGTTTTGGGGAAATGGTCATATAGTTCTGGTGAGAGTTGGTTTAAAATAAAAAAGTGTAGAAGTAAAAAAGAACATTAAGTCGCAAGAAACTAGTTAATAAATGATTTGATCAGGATTAAAACTTATTTAACAAAGTCAATCCTTTCTTAGATAACTTATAACGCCTTTGAACTAAATTCATTGGATGTGTGTTGATTGATATCTTGGTGTGTGAAAAAACAGTCTATTCATTAAGTTGAAATATGACCTTGAACAAACTTTCAGTCACTTCCAGAAAGTTTTAATAGGTACTTTGTGTCTTTCGTTTGTTTGTTGGGTGTATGTGTGTGTGTAGTACCAATCTGATGAGGCAATCATTTTCAACCGATTTTAACAGTTTGTTCTAGTGATGGGCTGTTAAACAACTGTCCAAGGTTAGGGGAGTGTTGAGCAACATTCCTTGTTTGCCTGACCTACTGTTAGCCAGGAGCCTGTAGTCCAGTGGTTGTCATTGGCCGTCTTTCATAGTTTCTTTGCGTAAAATGTTATTAGCCTAAATCAGACCATTCATTTCACATTTAAATGTGTTATCCCGTTGCCTTTAATAGCTTACTATACAGAACATATTGTTGAAGGCTTTGATCCATAGTTGTTTACACCCCTGTCATCTCTGGTAGACAGATGTCTTATTTGCAATCATTCCACTTCTCCTTATTTTTATATTATATAAGATGTTTGAATTCAGGGACTAAGATGAAAATAGTATAATTATTATGTGTTTTATCGCAGAAATACCGTGGTACTATTATAAGCACAAAATGGATCCGTGCTATTACATAATGAGACTTTTATCCATGAACAAAGACGTTTTCGAACCGATAACAAACACTTTTACATAATATTTGAAAGGATGATAAATTTCTGTGCTAATATATATATATATTATATACATACATTCAAATTTTTTTTGTGTTAAATATAGTACTTCAATTTTTGTTATTGACATGAACTTACTGTGGAGTATAACAGATGATTCTAGTTTCAGTTGTACCATCCTTCAGAACTGGACAGTCATATTCTCTATACGATGATACTAGTTTAACCTGGTTACCTGCGTCATACTGGTTTACAGAAAAACCCCTACCTACTATTGTTAGTCTGGTCTCTCCATTCAAACTTCCATAATGTGGAGACACATAGCTTATATCGGCTTTAAAAGTAAATCAGAGATCATTAAACATTCAGTAAGTACACTTCTTTCTACAAATTGTTAACACGATTTGCTATAGGGTGAAACTTTTACTAAGCATTGTTGATGTGGTTCATAAGCGTTTCTCGTTTCTCGTTTTTTATATAGATTAGACCGTTGGTTTTCCCGTTTGAATGGTTTTACACTAGTAATTTTTGGGGCCCTTTATAGCTTACTGTTCGGTGTGAGCCAAGGCTCCGTGTTGAAGACCGTACTGTGACCTATAATGGTTTACTTTTATAAATTTTGACTTGGATGGAGAGTTGTCTCATTGGCACTCATACCACATCTTCTTATATCTATATAAATGAAGAAAGGCTACGTCATATGGTCTCTGGTGGAGAGTTGTCTCATTGGCAATCTAACCACGTCTTCATACTTTTATAGTTATTTGTTGAAAGAAATACTTAACAAAAAATATTACCTTATTGTCCACTTTAAATTCGTAAATATTTTTCCATTGATCTATTAAGCTCGTCGTTGAAGACCATCAAGCAACCGCCACGAAGAAGAACAGCAATACAATTATTGTTTCTTTAATGTAGGGGTGATATTGGATTCAAGTCTCGTCTTCATTCACCCATATTCCGGAGCTTGCGTTTCCTGTCATGTTTTCCTTGATAGAGGGCAGCTAACCAAAAGGAAGCTATTGAATCGGAGGGTTCGTAATGATAAAGTTAAAGTCATCTCTTCTAAAGTTTTCACGGACATCATTTGTTTGACCGTAATGGAATGTATATCGTTTTTGCTTACGGATATGTTTACTTGTCATACCACAATCCCGTCCTCTTTACCTCGATTGTAAAATCACCAAGTACGACTACGTCTCAGCGACTGTTTTCACAAAAAATCTTACGATTAAAATTGATCGTAAGTTATACTGAAATGTGTATGACTTACGAGTATTTTTACTCTTAAGATTTTTTGTGAAAAGAGCCGCAGATTCTTTAATTGCTGTGAGCAACACGACGGGTGCTATACAATGAAACAGTAAGGTTTACTCTTCCGGTGTATTGGAGGTTTTTTTTCAGGGAGGGTTTTTTTTTTGGGTGGGGGAGGGTGGTGCCGTTATTGACAACATTTATATTTACGTATTTCAAGTGTTTCATTTCGTTTTTTGTAATAAAAAAAGTTTTAAAAAAAGCCAAAACGGACTCCAAACAATAATAAAAATGTCAGTCAGTTTACGAATACACTGCCCTTTTGTTCTTACAAGGATGTATAGTTTCATAACCTATTTAAGATACGTGATTCCCTGTAAATAAAGATTGTTCATTTAAACTGTGCCAAAACATCAAAATAAAAATACACAATTAAGAAGAGATACAATAACATCTTAAGTATAAAAAAAAATACCAGCAAAACAGATACTATCATATTCAGTAATAGATAATAGTTAAAGCACACATGGCCAAAATGAACGAGACCGCATGTACAGGTATTATTTACAATAGTGCGCACTGTTTATTGTTTATTAATCATTAATATTATTTTGGAGATAAAACTATGTAGTTTAATTAAATGATAGGTATCAATCAAATTAAAGACATATGTCGGTGTGACCACTGTTTGGCACTGTTTTAAACTTCCTATTTGATAAAAGTATTGATTGATTTACCTAAGAATGAGGTCATGTAGACAATCGCGTGCATTGTCTAATGAGCTTGTATCCTTTAAACAGGACAACGGACTGAAATCGCGTGTACATAACATCAGGCTGTAGTTAATTTTCCATCGGTAAACAAGCAGGGCAAACTCGATATGGAATGGTTTACAAAACCAAATCACAGAAATGGCTGAAAAGCTCCATAATATAGAAGCCATGACAAAAGATGATTTAGAAGCTTACGGTACGTGGTCTATTCATTATACCCAGTATTAAAACACTGAACACAAACCACAGATAAGCACCAACACTTCTAAAGGTCGTATATCTGTTTCTAGAATAACAATATACCCCATTTCTATGATTTTTTTTTTTTTTTTTTTTTTTTTTTTTTTTATTGAAGATAACTTCATACCTACAGCACATCAAAATATTGTTAACCATCAAACCACCATAGAAACTAAAGACAGCAACAAATCGGTCTGATCTAAGGCGCTCCGGAATGGCAAGCAGATGCTGCTTCACTGGTGGCACCCATAGTGTTGCTCATAATAAGTATAAATTCGGTGATGTCACAATCGAGAAAAAGAGAACGGGATTGTGGTTACGACAATTGGAACATAACCGTGGTCATCTGAGATACTGATATCCCATTACGGCCAACCAACCCGTGATGGCGTCCATAAACACGCAAGTTTATAATAGAGATCTTCAAATAAATAAAAAGGAAATTTATTATGTATATTGTATAACAATCAAGCCATACGAAACGAGTTTCTGGAATACCATAAACATTAGTAATGCACAAGACCAAAAAACAAACGTTTGAGAGTACCAAAACAAAAAGAACATTCAAAACCTTAGCGATACATATAGTGATTTATGCTATATATCTGTTTCTGTCTGTCTCGTTTACATACCTATGACACAACCAGCATTTGAGGGCCAGTCGCAAGTATTAATACGCCAGTTCCAGTGTAATCCAGCGGGACAGTCCATTGAATAAGAAATTCCATGTCCACACTGTATGTAGGACGAACAATCGTTTGGATCTGGCAAGTATCCGTCAATTAATGTACTGCAGTCTGCAAAATATTGTGAAAATTGAGAACACCCTTCAAATGTTACAAATATTCGGCCATTTCATAATTAATTCGCCCGATCTTTTTCGTCGCATTTACTCAGTTTCATAGACTTGGATATTAATTTTGGTTTTGTTTTGAGAATTGAAAAGATCATAAAAGAAAGAAGGAAGTTTTATAATATACTAAAAGTGAGTATAAAGATTATAGAATAATAAAATTAGACGACTTATTTGTACTCGCTTTTACAAGCAAATATAATGAATAAATACTCTCTCTGTTAGTCATTAGAGTTATCGAAATTAGTATATGTTTAACATAAAAAATATAATCTGTTGGTTGTACTATTAATAACAATTGTCCTTGATGGTAAAACTATTCTAAATAATATTTACCGTTATATCAGTTATCAGATGAACCAGGGGATTCAATTGATGAAATTTCATAAATAAGCTAAAATATCAGTAAATCACTGTGCCTTAATTTACACGATTAATCAGGTTATAAATAGGTCTAATATGAACAAATCTGGATATAAGATATCATATGCAAGATTGTCTTCTAATTATGAAAAAAAAAGAAACTCAAATGAAAACAATTGCAAGGCCACATCAAAACGAAGTTGAAGAGCATTGAAAACCGAAAATTTTCAAACAGTTGTGCTAAATATGACTAAGGTTGTATATGACTGTGATAGGAACACATTTTGTTTCGAATAATTCAATATTTTATTCAGAGGAAATTTACAGAAAATGAAAGTATAAATGATATTTCATATCAACACATAGAAATACTGACTAATGGGCTGGTGATATTACCCTCGAGAACGAAACGTCCACCAGCAGTGACATCGTACAAACGGATGTAAAAATCTTTTCATCATTTTTAAAGCGGATGACTGTGAGGGCATTCCGGTGTTATGCTGCCACAGACATTTCTACCCACGTGACTTGCGTTTTTGACTGATAACCGAAGGTATTTCGTATACTTACGCGGATATTATCGATTGCAAAATAACATTCCTTATCGCTTGTTATATATATTAATTTCATCAATAAATATTCATGAAAATAATTTTTAAGAACATAGATAAATGATTTGAAAATGTTTTGTTGCGAGAAATATATATATCAATAACAAATCAAGAATACCGAAAATTTGTGTTAACGCATCCGGAAGAATATCTCAAGAACGTTTTGCAACAAACGCGGTAAAATATGAATGCCTACTCAAATCCAATCTATTCGAAAAATGAATTATTACAGAAGAGTGTCCACCATGCATTTGCACTGCACTATCATTAAAATAGTAGAATAGAATGGTATACAAATGGATGAAAATTATATATAACTGTTATACAAAAATTAATATAATATATAACAACAAAAAAGAGTATACTGATAACAAATGATTATATCACAATATAATAGTTATTACGGTGAGGTTGAATTCCCTGTCATTTATTCATCATCCACACACGAACTTGTCTCAGAAAAAAATATATCTATGTACCTTAACCTAACTTTCAGGTATAGAGATGAGATTTTTTTTCTGAGGTCATCCGATGTTCAGTACTTCAGTACTTTGATTATACTTTGATACGTCAGACGCACGTTGGTATACAAATTACCAGTAATGGTGCTCGAATAAAAACAATCGCAAGGGGAAATAAAATATGAAGTTGAAGAGCATTGAAAACCCAAATGTTGCAAAAATTTGTTACTCCGTGGTTTTAAACCTCTTCAAAGATATCAGGCTTATAATTTGGTCTTCAGGTGTGAGTTTCTGAACTCACTGTTGTGTGTAAGATTGTAATTTTCAAAAACCCATAATAATTTCTTTTTATTGTTGTTTTCCAAAATCTTTCCTTACAATACAGCTATTACAACAATACATGATGCCACATTTAAAATAAATGTAGGAAACAAATTTAACTACATAAAAATGTGTATCTACATTTCTGGCAATAAAATTATATGTACATGTATGAACAATGAAACACAAATGATAAAAAAAAATAAAAGTGTTTAAGTTATATTATAGTTACAAAAGTATCATATAAACAACGAAAATTAATTATTACTAGTAGTCTTAAGACTGTCATCTTTGGCTGTAATCTAATCGCTTAAAGGGGCATTAGGTATGTTAAAGAAAAACAAAAAGATTTGTTTTAAACATTTATAAAAGCAGAACATTATTGAAATTATGTTTCTCTATTAGCAGTCAGTTTGTCAAAATAAGCGATCAAAAACATCGCTGATGTGATTG